CTTATCCATCGTGCGTATGGTAAAAGGCATTTTCTGCTTCTATATTTCAACCTCTCATTGTTTCTATAAAAAACTTAAAATAATCGAAACTAAATTTTATACATAATAATACACAATTAACAATATATGTGCGACCTGGTGCTAAAAGGGCTAAATTACGTTTTTTAAGAAATGAGATTTTAAAGCCATATTGTTGAAATTTATTCATTTATTGATAGTCTTTCAAAGGATACTATGTAAAAAAGGCAATGTAAAGAGTACTTCCATACTATTTAATAAAATAAAGTATGTGATACTGTACAGTATTGTACTATTTAATAATAACGTACTTTGGCCGTTTTAGCACCAGGTCACAGACACATATTTATTGAGACATTTTATAAGTTATATAACATAGCGTACTACACACACAGTATACAACACTATAGACATCAGAACTACAGCTACATCTTATCCCGTTTGGATAGTTTTAGCAGTGTAGCAATAAAATCAGATCATATTATCTCTTGTTTTTTTTACAACACGGAAGTAGAAATGAAATCACAGTCCACATGATGCTAAATGGCTACTGCAGTTCATGAACACCCTGTAACCTACTTCAAATAAAGTTCACAAAAAATGCGTTTTCACTCACACACCTTTTCTATACTGCCTCTCTATATACAGATCGGAACACAGCAGTGCATGCACTGTTATTTAGCAGCAGAAATATTATAATAGGATACGATAAGGTACCACCCGTATCTACCAGGAAGTACTCCTAGACATCAAAAGGAGTCCTATCACCTATTGACACAATATGTTTTGCTTGCTTATAATTTATTGAATATTAACTATTCAATGCTTTTACTACTCTGGCTGCCATTATGCTTTTGGATGTTATTAATTTTCCACACATTACACAAATAAAAGAGAAATTTTTAACTTACTTTACAATACGCACGGGATAAATGATTGATTTTCAATTGTTTTTATAGTATTAATTTAAATATAATTTATTCCATATTTATATTTTTGCATAACTGTACCGTTCAACGTCCATATTTAACATAGAAAATACACCTAAATACATCATTTATTAACATCCTACCACTACATATTATATTCCTCTTGCAAAAAGTTGTTTTATATAATCATATGAATTCATTTTATAAATTGATACTTAACATCATTATTTATTTTCAGATATTATAGAAAAGCTAATTTATAGCATGGTAAATAAATAGCAATGGTGCATTAAGTAGATTTTAGGATTAAAAAGTTATGTCGCATCACCTACGACAAAAGGAATTCGTGAACGAACATTATTCATTTCGTAACAGGCGAGGTTCAAAACAAGTTGTAGTAAGTTCTGGACCATATGGAACGCTTTGTATGGATGACGCTGAAAATCAGTTAGGTACATGATCACTTTTTGCTTAAGTTAGGTACATAGATAGGTCACCAAGTAAGCCAACAATGTATATTTACTGTGGAAGCAACATACATCCAAAGCTCTCCATGTAATCCCACCTTAATTATTCAGTATCACAAACGAGAAATAGGTAAAACAGTAAAGTATCAAAAACATTGTGTCCCATATCAGTCGTGTTATTTGTGCAATGCTATTATAATAATTAACAGTTATTAACAAAATTTCGCCTTGAAGTGTAGCTCAAAAGTCACATGTAACCAAACAGCCTCCGGCAGACATATAAACAAGTGTATTATAATACTTTCTCTATATAAAATGGACCAATCATGGCAGTGACAGTGAAATCAGTGCTGTTATTGGTCAATTTCTACCACCCTTATATGTCTAGCAGACGCGTTCATAAGAACTGATATGCTATTAATGAATTTCGAAGACGTTTCTTCCATTATTGCAATTAGTAGACTCCATTATCTTGTCAATTATTGAATAGATATGTGTAATATAATACAAAAAATTAGACTAAGAAACAATTTTAATTGGTTTTAATAGATTATTTTTAATTTTATTTATTTTTATTTTTATTATGTGATACAGACAAATATGATATCTCAATGAGCTCGGATGAAAACAGTTAAAATCATGTTATGTTTTAAATCTGTACATTTGAAATAATAAACACCAACTCTACGGTAAGGGACAGGTTGTGCCCGTTGAGTAATAACATCGTTTGAGCTAAATGCACACGATGGTCTGTGCTAAAGGTTATACGCATTACATTATCATTAGTAAAATGTGTTATGTTGATTATAATTAATCAAAATGTTTTGACGAAATTGTCACATATTTTAATATGCAATTAGAAATATTCTTCATGAAATTTTATTTATGAAAAAGTTATTTATTATAAGTAAACGACGCGGTAGCGGGTAAGACGGGGTACCCAGCAAATATCACAGTTCAAATTGACCAATCACGCTCGTTCATTCATAATTCGACGCGCCGCGATGAAACTTGTCAGTCGCCCGGTGGTTAGTGGTTCACAAGTGCACAGTGTCGAAAAAAATTCATGGAGCGTCTAAAGTACTACTCGTGCTTCTTTTACTGGATGGGCACAGCACCCACACTCAGAATATTGACCTGATCAATGTAGCCAGAGCTCATGGTGTTATAATCTTGTGTTTTCCTCCCTACACGACACACCATTTACAAGTAGCGGACGTTACGTTCAAGCGACCATTGAGCGTTTATTATGAACAAGCTGTCACTGCCTGGCTGCGTTCTAATCTTGGACTAGTGGTTACTATCCGCCAAGTCGCTGAAGTATTTGGACATGCTTTTGGCCAAGCAGCCACTATATCTACAGCACAAAATGGATTTCGTAAATGTGGGATTTGGCCCTATAATCCAAACGTGTTTTCCATAATAGATTTTGCCTCTTCTTTGACAACCGAGATCCAGTTAAATGACGGTCAAACTTCCACAAACCGAGAAATACTTCAAGATATAAGCAATGTCACTACTGCCCAAACTTCAGACACAGTAGCTGCACAAACAGCTGATAATGCTGCAACTTTTAGCAGAGGCGTTGTTGACGAATCTTTGCCAGGGTATTCCCACTGGAGTCCCAGGCTAGTTAAATAGGAATTAGCACCGTATCAAACTAAAGACCAACTGGAGACATCAGAAGCAGAACAAAATCAATCCGACCAGCAGACGCACTCACTCAAACCAGCTGAAAACCCTGTGTGTCGGGAACCAGAGACATCACAACCAGCAAAGGTGCTAAATTGATGTGTGTAACATGCGATAAAAGCTACAGTAGCTTTGTTTTGACTTCTCCGAAACAACTCTTTTTACTTCCGCTTACTAAAAATCCTCTCGTGTTACTAAAAAGCGTGGAAAAACAGCATTTATCACATCGTCTCCCAACAAACAAGTATTAGAAGTCATCGCCCAGAAAAAAAATAGAAACAAAAAAGAGAAAAGAAGAATTTAAAAAAAAAGAAAATTACTACAAAAGCTCAAAATAAAAAATCTAACAATCGATCAGTGAAAACAGCAAAACGATGAAGAGTCTCATCATCTGAAGATGAAAGTGAAGAGGAAGAGGACACATCATGTATGTATTGTGAGGAAGTATATTCCGTTCCCATTGAAGGGTGGATATCATGGTCATTATATGGAAGATGGGCTCACAATAACTGCGCAGATGATGACGACGAATCCACCAATGTCTGCGAGTTCTACCCGCTTAAATAATCATCTTTCTCTGTGATCATTCTCATTACCCCATCTTACCTCAGGGGGGTACCCCATCTTACCGGCACCATGGGGCAAGACGTTGCAAAACACTCTTAAATGTGTTACCAAAAGTTCCTAATAACACCAAATATCAGAATAATAATAATTACTTGTTAATTAAAAAATAAATATGATTGTTTCACTATTTAAATTTTTATATTATTGACCTTTAAAGCTTAGATAAGTACCTCATCTTGCCACCCTATCCCCTAGTACTTTAAAATAAAATTGAAGTATTCCATGTTATATCAAGTTTATGATTTAATGCTTAAAATAGACAGATATATAACTTAGTTTAATTTAATAATAAATTTATTAAACTAAGTTTTGTGGTTATTTTAGATGTATATAAAAAAAACCATATTTAATACCCGATTACGAGACATTGACAAAATATCGGAGCCTAGTAATTAGTGGTAACATAAGTAGTTCTCAATATTATATACTTCGTTCGACTTCCGAAAATAGCAAATCGACCTTGAGATTGTGACCGGTCCCAACGAAAATTCCATTCCTTCATAGAATTAGCGACTCGTAAAAATGCTTTACTAAAACTATTTTAGTTTAATATACCGTTATACAATTATAGTTATAAATTTAATAATGATCAAGGATTATTTGGAATATTTAACTTTAATCAAACCAGCTTGCATTTGCTTGTCGACGCTTATAAATCACGTAATCGCTCGTTCTACGACGGATATCCACCGTGTTTTGTAAATGGTACGAGCTACTTTGATATGGTCTCAGTCTCAAGACAGTCCGTACGTCTGATCTATATTACAATCTCCCTACTCGAGCTACTGACTTGTGTCCACTATCGACACTCGATGAACGTCCCTAAAGAAACTTCATAATGTGTGTTGAATGTATGTTATGATCATCACCAGCCAATCGTTACAAGATTTGTGTGTCGAATGTGTACGCAAGCCTCTGATATGTGGGATGATGTGTGTAGCGCTCCGGGCCGTCCGTCGTTGACCCGCCCGAATGTTACAAAACTGGAGCGTACCTACATATAAGTATATTATATACAATGTACAATACAATATGATAAACGCTATAGACGCTACGGGGCGGGACGCCGACGGTCGGCGAGGCCAACGCCTCGCGCGTCAGTAGGTAAACATTCTCACAATAATATACATCGTAACTCGCTCTATATATAACAAATTTTCTCGAACGCGCACCACGCTCGATAAACAACATAATATACAGCAGAATCGTAGCACTCTTTCGATTCAATAAAAAAAATTGACTAGAAAATTTCAATTTGCTATGAGCACTATGTGTGCGTGGATGGCGTAGAGAATATGTCGGTGGCACGCCAAGCCTCTGCCTCCTCCTCTGCGTCGTACTGCTGCAGGAACGGGTTCGTGGAACTGTATCGAGGGCTAATACCACCGTTAGTACCACTCGAGTTCAAAGTTACCGCCAAACCGGCTGATGTGCCCGGGATAGCTGAGCGGGGTGACTCGCGTGGTGTAGTCTCCCGTGGAGTTGTTTCCCTGGGAGTAAGCTCACGAGGAGTTAAGTCCCGTGGTGTGCTCTCGCGTGTAGTGCGCGGAGAGTCGCGGGGAGAGGCGCGAGGTGAGTTCCTAGGCGACACACGCGGTGAACTTGCTCGCTCTGGCTGTCGCAAAATTGACGACACGGAGCCACCATGTTTGATTGTATCAGCTGGACTATGGCTTCCAGAGCTGCTACTGGGAGAACCGGGAGATGAGACTGTCACCTGGCGGGAGCGAGGTGGAGCGGGCAGAGGGCCGCGCTGCGGCGACTGCGGACGATATTGGCCGCCCCTGACTGATGAGAGAACCTGGAAATAGACGAAATCAAAAGTTGAGTTTAAAGAAATTTTATTTTCAAAAAAGACAAACAATGCCACTTACATGAAAATAATAATTACATTTTAGTATACTTATTCTAATGGTCGCCGAACACTCAGTCAGTAACTTCATAGCCTCAATTTAATGGTGAAAAATGTTCAATTACGTATTGTGATAACTGAGACTTAAAACTACTAAATGAGCTTACATTTTTTTATATTACAAGACAATTTATTATAAATCAGTGCTCCTTCAAAGGTAATGCTTTTTTTGCGTAGTTTGTTCGTACCTTTGGTAGTACAAGTAAGCTAGGTCGACGAAGACTACGTTTACAAATTTGTGATTTTTTTACAAAAGACAAGTTAGTATGGATGGTTTTATCTAGTATTTTCCTAATTATAATGCAAGTATTATATGTATGTAGTTATTGAACGTACATAAGTTTTGTTTCTTTGAAAATTTTAGACGTTGCTGTTAAATAGGGATAGTGAAAAAGTATTTTTATGATTTTATTTTGTATTCTTTGAAGTTCCTGTAACTTAGTTTTAGCTGCATTGCCCCAAATTTCTATAAGATAAAGTAAATGTAAATGGTAACTAAGTAAAACAAATGTCAGGCAAGGAGCTTATTATGATTAATAATGCGCTTAAAATAAATTTATAACAATAAAGTACAAACATGTGCGGGCGGCGATCGGTCGGCTCCGGGCCGAGCTGAGGGAACTGGCGGCGGAGATGCTGCTGATGCTACCGCTGGAGGCCGATATGGACTGGCTGAGGGCAGAACTCGGCCTGTCGACAAACAAACTACTATTTCTTTTACTTTGTCATAATCAGTATACATTTTTGGCCAAGGTACCTACACACCTTCATTTTCCTTTACTTTGTCATAATCAGTATACATTTTTGGCTAAGGTACACCTTAATGATTCGACTCTATAATACTTACACACTCAGGTCTTGAATATTCCATATTAATGTAATGATTTGGATAGACTAACGCAGTATTCTCAATTCCACAACTTTGCAAATAAATAAAAAACAATAAAGCAAAGCGCTTATTGTGTGTCCGAAGCACATTAACTACTTAAGTACAAAATTTTAAGTATTGTCGAGCCATTGTATGATGGTGGAGCTACATAAATACTTCATCATCGTCACCATCAGCCTGCGGCAGTCCACTGCTAGACATGGACCTCTCAAAATGTGCACCATTTGGCCCGGTATCCGGCTATACGCATCCAATTTCAAGTTAGGGGGCGTCCTACAATACGTAACTACTTCATTGTCATCATCATTGTAGCACGTCTTCCGTTGAACGTAGGCCTCCTCTAAGGAATGCCACAAAGCACGTTCCTAAGCCATAGCATTACTTCTAACGGCGAAAATACTTATCATAGGAAAAGATAGAGAAAGACAAGATTAGAAAAATTGTTTATTGTAATTTTTATAGTAATTTAATTAATATGTTTTATCTCCCATACAAATGAAAAATAAATACCACTGACTGAGTTATATACATTTTTTAATTTAAAGCAAGTTTTTAAGAAGTCTACGGTGGGTCGTTAAGTTACATTATAACATAAATACATTCTTCATTTTCATTATCATCATCTCTAATCTCCGGGAGAAAAACCGGCGACGAGGTTCGCCACCCGTCACGTTCTGTCTCCCGGAGGGGCGAAAAGTGGATTGCGGAAACCCGTCTGGCTACGCTGAATGTATGTGGAGGAATGAATGATAAGATGGATGAAGTATGCGAAATGATGAATGACAGAGGAATAGATGTGTTATGTGTGAATGAGACGAAACGAAAGGAAAAGGATGCTACTGCACATGGCACGTATACCGCCTATTGGTCTGGTGTAGACGAGACCGAACGGGCATGCCAGGGAGTCGGTTTCATCCTTTCAGAAAGAATGGGTCAATGTGTGAAAATAGAAGAAGCCGCCGCGAGAAAGGCAAAGAAGCGTTTCTGCTAGGTGTGCCCCAGACATGTCTAAGCCCACTTACATCCGAGAGCAGTTTTGGGACATGGTAAGGATGGTGTTGACAAAATGTAAAGAAAATGAAAATATTATTATGTTAGGAGACTTTAATGGAAGGGTTGGGGTGAAGAGGTCTGGTTATGAAAGGATATTGGGAACGTTTGGTGATGAAAGTATAAATGAGAATGGTGAAGACCTCCTCACCGTATGTGTGGAAAAGAATCTTTTTGTGACGAATACTTTTTTTCGTCATAAGAAGATTCACATGTATACAAGGGAAAGAGGTGATGATAGAAGCATGATAGATTTCGTAATTGTGGATGAAAGAATGAGGAGCGCAGTCGTAGATACAAGGGTTTACCGGGGGTCCAACGTAGGGACGGATCATTACTTGGTCTTATGTCGAATTAATGGTCTTTTCAAGCGTTGGCGGCATCGGACATCTGTGTCTACCACTGCGTTACAGCGTATAAGAATAGAGAAGTTACAAGATGAAGATGTGAAAGAGAAGTATAAATGTAGACTGAGAGGAAATATTAGATGTTTAAATGAGTTGTGTATGAATGATTTAGACTTGAATACTGTGTGGGATAATATTAAGAAAGGTTTGGTGGATGCCGCCACCGAAGTATGTGGTGTAAGTAAGAGAACAAATGAAAGGAAAAGTAATACGTTGTGGTGGGATGATGAGGTACGGGTGGAAGTTGAATCAAAGAAGAAAGCATGGTTATATTTACTAGCAACCAAAGCTGGTAATTCTTCTGGTATGAATGATGAGATTGAAAGAAAAAAGGCAGAATTTAGACGTCTAAATAAGAGAGTAAAAGAAGTTGTTGAAAGGAAAAAGAAAGAAAGAACGGATAAGAATGATGTCAGAAGGATTTCTGATAATTTCCAGGCTAACATAAAAATGTTCTGGAAACTCGTAGCAACTGCCAGGGGAAATACAAAACAGCCTCTAATGAATGCTATAAGAGACGAGAATGGATGTATTCTGAATGATGAAGCTTCGAATTTAAACAGATGGAAGGAATACTTTGAAAGCGTGTTTATGAGTGAAGAGTCGTCTGAATTAAATGAACTAGAAATTCCGAAAGAAGTGGAAAGGGGTATGGAGATAAGTGTAGATGAAATAATGAAATCAATGAAAAGCATGAAAGCAGGTAAGGCAGCTGGATATGATAGAGTATCACTCGAGATGCTAAGGGCTGGAGAGGGAGTGGTGGCAGGCCTGCTGTACACCTTGTTTAAACTACCTGTTGGGAATTAAAACGGGTACCGGACGACTGGTGTAAAACAGTTATAGTACCAATATATAAAGGAAAAGGGTCACAGCAGGACTGCAAAAACTACCGTGGAATCAGCTTGCTTAGTATTGTGGGTAAACTGTATGCTAAGGTGTTAATTGAAAGAGTTATGAAAGAAACTGATGGAAAAATTTGGGATGTGCAAGCGGGTTTTAGAAAGGGAATGGGGTGTACAGATCAAGTCTTTTCCATGCGCATGATTGCGGAGAAGTTTTTGGCCAAAAACCAGAAAGTTTTTTGTGCGTTCATGGACTTGGAAAAGGCTTATGACAGAGTGGACAGGAATGTGTTATGGCAAACACTGAACTCATATGGATTGAGCGCTGGTTTGATACAGGGATTAAGGTCTCTTTATAGGGACTCTAGTGCTTGTGTCGGGATCAATGGGGTCTACTCAGACTGGTTTGGCATCCAAAAAGGTGTCAGACAGGGCTGTGTAGCTTCCCCTTGGCTGTTCAACCTATTTATGGACAGGTGTTTGCAAACTTTGAAAGATGAAGAATGTGGGTTAAGAATGGGCGAGTTAACCGTCAAATGCCTTTTGTATGCCGATGATCAAGTAATATTTGCGTCATCGGCGGCTGAGTTGCAAATGATGGTTACATTAATGAACTGGGAATTAAAAGAAAGGGGAATGAAAGTAAACGCAAGTAAGACGAAAGTGATGGTTTTTGAAAGAGAAGAAAGCAAAACGGTATGTGAAATAAGAATAGAAGGAGAGTTAATTGAGCAAGTGGATGAGTTTGTGTATTTGGGATGTGTATTTAGCAGGGATGGTAGATATGATAGGGATATAGAACGACGAGTAAATGCAGGGAATAGAGTGAATGGGGCACTACACTCTATTGTGAAGAACCAGAATTTGTCAAAAAAGGCACGTATGGTAATTCATAATGCTGTGTTAGTCCCTACTTTAATGTATGGTAGTGAAAGCTGGGTGTCGCAGAAGAAGCACGAAAGTAGAATAAATGCTGTAGCAATGCGGTCTTTAAGGAGTATGCTAGGGTTGAATCTGAATGACAGGGTGAGAAATTGCGTGATAAGAGATAAATGTGGTATGCAAGATGATGTTGTGACCAGGATTAAGAAAGGAATGCTTCGGTGGTTTGGTCATGTAGAAAGAATGAATGAGGAAAGAGTGACAAAGCAAATTTATATGGCAGATGTGAACGGCCGAGTCGGGAAGGGACGCCCTAGAAAAATGTTTATCGACCAAATTGGCGATATTTTGAAAAGGGGCCACGTTAGAAGTACCCTTAACCGACGAGCATGTATGCGTAGATATATGGATATAAAGGAGGCGAAAGAGGTATGTCAGGATCGTGCCAAATGGAAGTCCGTAGTCTCTGCCTACCCCTCTGGGTGACAGGCGTGAGTGTTTATGTATGTATGTATGTATTGTCATCATCATTTGATCATATCTAGAATATAAGTACACTATTAAATATAAAATAACGTAAGTGCCTACGTTATTCGAGCCGTGCTAGCTCGGGGGCTAAGCATTTGCCAAAAATTTCACAGTACGCGAGCAACCTGATTTCGACGCCGCCGACATCACTGAAATTGCTAATTGCAATTTTAAGTGCCTGGAACCTACATGTCTGAGGAATGAAATAGTATTTCGAAGTCATGTGAAGTTGGCCACCACATGCTGGTACAGCTCAGGGGCCTAATTGCTCCATAACCTTCAGTACAATATCTCTAAAACTATACATTCGATTGATTTGAAATTTTGTATAATTAGTAATTACTCATTTAGCAAAGTAGACGCTCACTAAGAACGGATTTTATGATAGTCCCATCAAAAAAACATCTTGATATTAATTACATCCGTGCGACTAGCCAATCAAGCGGGTTTCAGCATATTTCTATGAATACTCAGAAATGAAGAGGTTTGCTTTCCTGAAGTACGGTGTTAATAGGTTGCTTTATAAAATATGAAGTATAAGCATTATTTAAAATATGTGATTCTAAATCTTTAAAAGTTTAATACACGTTTTCACGACAGGGTACAGGATTACTTGTACAAGTTGCTCCAAATTTAAAGCGGCTAAATTAAGTTTAAAGTAATGCTAAAGTCAGAATTTATTTTTAAATAAATGTTATATAATTCAGCATACCTTGGGGGAGGGTGACTGAGCCCGCTGACGATACACTGACTCTGTTTCCACGCGGCCCGGTTGCTGGCTCGCCGCGCCGAACTGTCTACAAACATACATGCGTTAAGGTACCGCCTAGCCTTTAATTGAGTTAAAACATTTAATGGCGTTAATTTTAAGTAATAGATATTTTATAATGTGAAAATATAGTACACGTATATGCTTTTTTGTACACATACCAAAAATACTAAACAACACCTCTTGATTCTGGAATATTTTAATTTTATTACATACTAGCTATATGTTAATATCTGGATTCTAAACAGCGCACGTACCGGGTCTGACTATGCCTATAACTTTACCGGAAGTGCTAGCAATATGTTGACAACGTTTTACCGCAATCTGACAAACGGTATAGCAGCGCATAAAATACGAACGAACGGGTACGGAATTTTTAAATATTAGATTTGTATGCCTCCGAAATGCTGAGCAACATCTTTTTGAATTAGTCAAAAATCGAGAGCAGCTTATATTTCTAAGAGTTTATTGCAAATGAACATTATGTGGAACATTGGCCTACGAACAAAGCTTAGGTTAAGGTTACTTAGGTTAAGTTTTACCGGATATTCTATTAAACGCAACATGTATATATATATATAAAAAAAAAAAAAAAAAAAAAAAAAAAAAAAAAAAAAAAAAAAAAAAAAAAAAAATATATTCTCCAGACCAAATTCCGGTCACGGCAGCCAGTCGCAACGGAGACTAGCCATCGCAGCAGAACAAGCTTATAGTGGCTAAATGTTCACACAATTGATGATAGATAATATAAAGTTTGCTAGATAATTGATATGATATTACGAATGATAAAGTAAACGACTGCTTGATATGAATGCTTTAAGTGTACTGCTAAGTTGGCATGAAATGTGTATGTTTCACCGTACAATGCACGTACAATGTAGTGTATGCGCAAGCACAGGTGCACTCTCTGTTCCCTTACTCTCATGGTCAGATGAAACGGTAAACTGACACACCCGGAGAGAGATCAGGCGGAGGATCAACGGCTTTACGTGGTTTCAGAGGCACCACCAGTTTCCTGACTCCAGTCAGCTACTAGGAATTTCTTGATGGAAAAACTCAATAACTGATAATTTTTTGGCCCGACCCGGGATTCAAACCCGGAACCTCATGATCAGCAGTGGTACTACTACAACCACTAGACCAACGAGGCGAAATGAATAATGAGGGCTAAAAATGTATAATGAATGCTAAAAGTAATAATGTTTTTTCTTTTCATAATTATAAACCAGTGCTTCAATAAAATCCGCCTGACGGTCAGAGGTTAGGAAGCCGAAGATGGTAAAGCGCTCTGAATTAACAATAAATCTTTTCACTCTGCCTTGAAAACACCAATATTATAATCAGGTGGAATCACAGATGCTGGCTATTCTACTATTTTGCTGTACGCATTATAAACGGCGAAGCAAACCGTTCGAATGTATGTCGACAGCAAAGGAGTGGAGACCAGCCTAACGTCTAGTTGTCCGAACGATAACACAAGAACACATGCGACACAATGGACAAAACGATATAGTTAATAAACTTTACTTTATATTGATAAGTAAAGAGTTACTTAACAAAAATCATATGGTTTTTTTTTAAATAAAATAGGGGTGATAAACGAGCACACAGTCCAACTGGTCATAAGTGGACGCTGTGGCTCATAGACACCTACATTTATCCTGGATTAAGAATCAAAACGCAGATGCATTGACACCCCTGAAGACTAAAGTGGAATGCCTCTTGTCCAGTAAAAAAAGGGTCTCCGAATTTCTACACAAACCATACGAAACACAGCAGTATTAAGGTGCTATTTTATGCTGGTATTTTTGAAAGAATCATATGGTACGAGGGTGGATTGAAAAGTACTCGGCCTAACCAAAAAAATAAACACATACTAAATCAGTTATATTTTTATTTTTCTACATAATCACCATCAAGTTCAATACACTTTTGCCACCTCCCCTTCCAAACATTTAGACCGTTGAAAAAAAAATGATTCTTCCTTAGAGTCAAAATATGCGTCTACAGCTGCTTTGACCTCGTCGTTTGTCGAAAATCTTTGACCTCCCAAGTGCTTTTTTAGGTTAGGGAACAGAAAGAAGTCTGATGGTGCCAGATCAGGTGAATACGGCGGATGCGGTAACAGTTCAAAGCCACAGTTGGGAATTTCAGCCATTGACTGTACTGACGTGTGAACACGGGCGTTATCTTGATGAAACAGGACTTTTCTTCTGAGCATTCCTCGACGTTTTTCTTTTATTTCCTCTCGTAAACGACGTAGTAAGGTGCAGTAGTAATCAGAGTTTACAGTCTGATCCCTTTCAAGATAATCAATCATAATCACACCTTTCGAGTCCCAGAATACTGAAGCCATCACCTTATTTGCCGACAAAATCGACTTAGCCTTTTTAGGGGGTGGTGAACCAGGTCTTCTCCACTGTTTTGATTGTTGTTTTGTTTCCGGTATACAGTAATGAACCCATGTTTCGTCCATAGTAACAAAACGATTCAAAAAATCATCTGCATCGGCTTCAAATAACTCCAAACAGTCGCGTGAAATAGTCAATCGCGTCCTTTTTTGTTCAACTGAAAGCAGTCGCGGAACCCACCTCGCAGACACCTTGTAGAAACCCAACTCGTTGACAATGATGTTTTGAGTTCATTCATAAGAGATGCCTATAATCTCGGCTATCTCTGTAATTTTTAATCTGCGGTCTCCCATTATTAAATCAAGTACTTTTTTAATATTTTCGTCAGTAGTTGACGTCGAAGGCCTTCCAGAGCGGGGTTCATCTTTCACACTCTCTCTACCACGCTTAAATTCTGCTATCCATTTTTTGACGGATGAATATGACAGAGCACAATCGCCTAATGTACTGACCATGTCATCATGGATGGCTTTTGATGATAGCCCCTTCTTATGGAGGTACTTAATGACGGCACGCTGCTCGATTTGCTCCATTCGCGGAAATTATGTCCGATTACTTTGTTAATAAATTTATAAAATCGCAACTAATTATCGCACACGTTTCGAACTTCACACAATGAACTAGTCTGAACTGAACTAAATAATGTGGGTAGATTTGATTTTTAGAATTGAATGGATCTGTGTTAGGCCGAGTACTTTTCAATCCACCCTCGTAATTAAGTATAGCGGAATCAATAATTATGTTTTATATTTTTTTGTAAAACATTGCGTCCAATATAGTATAGTGAACGTATGTACGTCTTATTGGAGCAAAAAGATTTCTAATTAAGTGCTACTTTAAGTTTATTAAAAAATATATACATATTATATGTATTGATCGGAACTTAGAAATTTTATCCGCCGTCAAGTTGAAAGATTTTGTTAAATAAAGATTGCATAAAAGATATAATAATAAGGAATTTATGAAAGATGATAAACTGAGGTGGTAAGTAGTCTATACCAAGCTATTTGTAATGTGATTTGTATAGTTAAATAGCATAGTACATGACTATACACTGTTCTATTTTTAAAAGAGGTATTTTTCGAACGAGAAAGTGGTTTATTAAACATAAGAATAAATTTGAATAAGTATTATTTATCCATATTGAATAAAAGAACCTATTTTCATTTCTACACCGTGCTGAAAGTAATAGTGGCATTAGAAATGACATTACCTGAACGCTTGGGCACTGGCCATATTTGTAGTAAACACTGAAGTACATGAATCGGTTTTTGATAATCTATATCATTTGTAGGTTGAGAATGAAGCATGAGCGGCGGCGCGAGTGCCACAGCGAGATGTTGCGGAGACATCTTGTTGCGGTCTTGTGCGGCAACCACGAGAGCTAAATAAAAACACAACAACAATGGAATTTTAAAGAAATTTTTAAAAAAACCTATATCATCTTCACAATTGTCAGCTTTAGAAAGCTAATATTATGTGACTTAAGTCTAATTAACCATCCCATACAGGTTATAAAATGTATAAAAAGTTCCACGAATGAATATAGGCCACCCGAGTAAATTGCTTTATAGGATTGATTTTGCCAAAGTTGCCACACTTGGCAGGCGGGTTGGCAACCACAGTTTTTTGTTATTTAGAAATGTCACCAGAAATATACTGCTGCCCATCTCCTGCTTCAGTTTTTCTCTCTCCTCTCACAACATCGACGGAACGACACGGAGTAGTGCGGTTTAATGGTATACTTGTTTTAAAAAGCAGATGATAAAGATACAGAACTTTTTAATCCATGAGACATGGATGGACAGTAACATCATCAGAGCGAGTGTTGGCACTGCGGTCACCAACCCGCCTGCCTGTCGTGTTATATATATATATATATATATATATATATATATATATATATACCAAAACTTATAACAATGCCTTATTTGACATATTATTGAAGTTTTCGATAGCCTGTATACAGTAGTAGATCAAAAAAACTGGAAAAAGAAAAGAGGGAGCTTGGATGGTCGCATAAATTTGTGCAGTTAAACAAAAAGAGCATCTGCAAACTCAACTCGGTTCAGTTTGAGAAAATCTTTCTAAAAGTTCATATTTTTAAATACTGTGTTTACCCTGTGTTATTCTAACGACTTAAAATATATTATTCAATCTACAATTAGTATTAGTCCACAAAATGTTTGAACTAATATTTTTATTACCTAAATGATCCAGAAGGAAGACCAAAGTCGCGCGTGCAGCTCGAGGCAGGCATTCAACTATTGATGCCATCAGGCGTGCGTTACCCTCTCGGTCATCCGGCAAACATACACCTAAAAGAAAATTTAATCTAAATGTGTGAATGTAACTTAATTGGAAATTAAACTACATAGAGTTAAATTTTATAGTGTATTTATGTCAGCTTCAATTTCAAAAACTAACCTAGAGCATCCAATGTCATCTGGAATAAACAGCGACTGAATAGGGGTTGTGGCAGTTCTCTGAGGTAATCTTTTAAAAGGCCTGTTATAACATTAATATCAGGAACTGAATCTGGAGTAAGTTCGACTCCTCGAGCATTTCTTTCAAACGCTTCTCGCAAAATACGCTTTTTACTTGCTGCTCCACACAATCTGTATAAACCTGAAAATAAGAAAATTATTAAATATATTACAATTCACTACAAATTGTATTTTAGAAACGTTTTATTTAATTGCAAATATTAACTCTTTTGAAATTTTTTAATCTTTTTTTACTTTATTTCTTCGATCTACTCTTACGATTAATAACACATATTTTGGACTTTAGACTAACCTATGATATCCAGGCCACGTCGTTCAATTTCCTCAACACAACGACGCACAATGAGAGGTACTGGAGGTGCGTGGGAAGGTCGCGGCTCGCGCGATACAACCGCCTCCAGCTCTGCGCCAAACAGGGGGGGAGGAGAAAGACGTGCAGGCGCTGGACGGCGGCGGAACAGCTCCTGAGGCTCAGTATGGCGTAATCGCACGTATAATGTACCACGGGGCTCCATCTATAACATATTTTTATAGATAAAATTTACATACAACAACTGCGATTTTCAAAGATTAACATGAATAAGTAAACAGTTGGGGTGGCAGCGGACCGGACATATACTCGAACTACAAAACTTGAAGGAAACGACAGCCAATGCGGAATAATAATCGCCTCACACTCGTTCATCTTTTTGATGGACCTTAGATAGTTCGGGACCGTGTGCTATAAAATTCTATTGGGTGAGACCTGTGTACAGCGGTAGACTTATAATGAATTTTAATGATGAAGATGACGGTTATGATGATAAATACTCATCTTATAGATCAGAATAGAGTTATCTAGGAGCATGAACAATATTATTGTCCTCAAGGCCAAATTTCGGTCACGGCGGCCAGTTTTAATGGAGACGACTATATCCGTAGGATAGGATTATAGTGCATGAGTGTGTATGCAAATTTGCACAAGCTATTCCCGTACTCTTATAGTCCGATGGGAAGGAAATCCAACACGACTGAGGAAAATTAGGCGCAGGAGCAACGGCTTTATGTTTTTTCTGAGGCACGAGGGTGAAAGACCGAAAACTTCCTGACACCGGGCTGAGAATTTCTTTAAAAATCAAATATTTTATTTTGGCCCGACTCGGAATTCAAACCCAAAATCTCATGATCAGTAGCCGTGCTTACAACCACTAGATCAACGAGACAGTCAAAGAATATGGACACTGCAAGTGTTTATAAAACGCTTATTATTGTCTACGTACCCTTATTGCTAGTTGATGCGCGGGCGATCGAGTAAGCAAGTCTGGTAGAATAACAACACCACGGTAGCAGAGCTTGTGCCTGTGTTGTGGATCCCAGGAATACACCAAGACATCGAGCTGTCTGTTATCCACTAACTCTAATTCAAATGATTCATCCCAGTCGAATTGTAGCTCTCCAGTACGAACCTGACAAATTAAAAACGGTATTACGAATTTATTAGAAATATTTTCTAGGTTAAACAAGACTCCCTTTCTACCTAAGCGTCCATCTAGATAGGTAACACGCTCTTATCCATTTCTACCACTAAATAATAGTGCCTGTGTAATGATATGTTTCGGTCTGAAGAGTATAGAAAGCCAGGGTAAATACAGGCTGTTAGACATTCCGTCTTAGTGCTCAGACCTGATAACGTTACTGCAGCTGTTTTAGTTTGAAGTTGGCTACAGGATAATTAATAGAATCAGGCGTTACTTTGCGGAAATCCATTATATTAAAGTTGGCAAGAATTACCTCGCCCACATCTGCTCAATAAAATAAAGTGATTTGTCTTACCTAGTCTGAAGAGCACCTACCGCCCTCCCTCAATTGCGTGCACTAATCCCGTCACCACTAATCCCAGCACCACAACTCCCAACACCACAACACCAAGAAAGACACATCATCGACGATAATACGACGCGTGTTTCGCCTCTACACTACGCATCCTCAGGTAATGTAGACCCTGCGGTGGCTGACCGCTAAGGTTACTTATTGTAGTGGTGTTGGGAGTAGTGGTGCTAGTATTAGTGGTGATGGGATTAGTATACGCAATTGAGGGAGGGCGGGAGGTGTTCTTTAGGTAAATCACGAGTTTCAGACCAGGTTATTCTAACCAAGTTTAATTGGCTGCAGGAGTCGATGGACTGTCGTAGCCACTCATCCACTACTATGAAACACTACTTAGCATAGGTGGTTCGTTTGTCACTTTCGTATTATAAAATCTATGAATACCGATTTTTATTGATTCTTAATTAATTTAAAAAAGTCTAAGGCTCAGCGAACAAATTTGCCATTATTCAATCATTTTTTTATGGACGGAACTTGTAAATTAAAAAAAATGTTGCAGCCTGTCCATGGCCTCACAAGTCGGCCTGTTCTCTTTCGGAGAATCAATCGCCGCTCTTCTCCAGTGCGTGTTAACCTCAGAGTATAAATAAGCAAACTATGATTATATATTCTCTATGGTCTCCGCGGGCAAAATATTAAGCCCTCGAATTTCAAATTTCTTAGGCATGCAGTTTTTGCTACTATGATTTTCTTTCCCGATAAACATGTTGTAAATCAACATTAAATTTTAGCTTTAACATTAAATTTAAGAATTAACATTTTTGAAACCGACGGGAATTAAATTCTGATTGGTGCGTATAATAAAGTAAACGGAATGCGTTTAACCCCTAATCCACCGGCTCTCACTTTGAATTCAGAAGCAATTCGCCATTGCCTAGCGTAAGCATTTAAAGTATATGAACTAATTCACCGCGATGCTTAAACGCAAACAGTAAGGTTGCCTTTTCATCCAGAATGCTTGAGAATGCGTGGCGAGGAATTTATGTAAAACCCACAAATGGAATCATCGCTTCTTCTAGATTCAGGTAGAAAAGAGTGAAAACGAATCGAAGATTTTACATTTAGACTGTGACGAGAGGCATAAGCTTACAAGCGAGGGTTGTGTGCGGTGTAATTGTAGTACATAGTACGGAGTTGAGTTGGTAACCGTAGTTTGTGAGCGTTGATACACCGCGCATTCTTACATCATCTACCGCACCCTCCCAAGGTAAGGCACCATTGTAGACATGTGTCAATCATTTATTTCTCGTGACCGAATCATTCTGGTAAATTTTGTCACGCGTACCGGTACGTTCGGATCAATCATTCAAATAGATCATTTCGGGCTCCAGTTCCCTACACCAAAAACAATTCATTCAGATCATTCGAGATTCGGTCGGTTTTCTACTCATTCACAATTCACACCAATCTCGAGTTAAAAGGTTCCGCCAATTGTTTGCGATTTGTTGTACCAGAATATTCAAAAACAGGTGAATGAACCATCAATACTCATAAGTGTAGCAGCTCAAACGAACGAATCATTCATGATTGACATATGTCTACATCATTGAAAAAGCATATAAGTTGGGGCGTTCAGTGAGTGTGACAAATAAAAGCTCTGGTTTTACAGTGTTCAGAATGACGGCACGTTAGTGTATGTACCAAACACGCCAATAAGCAACACGCCCCAATGAACGCGCCGCCGAACGCCCTGTCTAACGGCTTCCAACCAAGTGGCTTAGCTTTGGTGGGAAAAGGCAGCTTTACTGACTTAAGTTAAATTTTTTTCAGATTTGCACTTTTCCTATCATTATACTTACCACCGTCCGCGCCTTATGAACTCGATCACATTCAAGTACACAATACAGATCTCTGGGAGTAACAGGCGGTTGTATTGGTGCAAGCGGTCCTGACGGCGGGGAAGCGGGAGACGAGCCCGAGGGTGTCGGTCGCAGTCCCCGTCCTGACAGCAAGTGCACCCACAGCATCCCCGAAACACCACCAGACAGTCGGGATAATCCAGTCATTGATGAAGAAAAACCTCCGGCTCCCGGCTTTTCTACTTTATATTTTAGGAAGTCTGTAAAAAATATAGATTTGGTTTCTAACTGAAATTTTTTTTTAAATTTGTAGATACTGAGTTTTTTTGAGTTCATTGAGTCCAGGGTCATGTAGCTATATAACATCAGCTATCTGCCAGTGAAATTCCCGACAAAATCGGTCCGGCCATTTGAGAGATTAGCGCGGAATGTCCAAACAGACAGACAGACAGACAAAAATTTTAAAAATACGTATTTTAGTTATAAGTAGCTACCGTATATAAGGTTTTGGCAGAATATGTTATTTTGACATTGCAAACAGGCACTTCAATTTTATTTACGCAAGTCCTGTCGTGCATGAATTACTGCTGCACATATGGGCTGGTGCTGCAAATTATCACCTAGCAACGTCGATATCAGTAAAAATACGTGCTAAGAGGCTCATTGGTAACTTTGATTTGGTTGAAATCAATCTTGTCAGCCTCGAGCACAGGCGCAGAGTAGCCAGCCTCTCAGTATTCTATAGGATGCATTTCGGTGAGTGGGCGCAGGAGTTTTATGCTTTATTTCCTCCCTCTCCTTTCTACCATTGGAACATCGGGCGGACAGCGGGTCTTCACCTCTATTTGTTCATATTCCGCGCATTAGAACCAAACTAGTGCTTCGTCTTTTGGAACGCGTGAAAACATTACAAAAGACAGCAAAGAGGTGGAATAATTTCCTGACGTGTCTTTCCGTCTGATAAAATCTGGGTGTCTTCAAAGCAAGAGTGAATAGGCTTTTGTTGCGCTAAGACAGTGTAATTTACCATCTAGAGCTGCATCATCATTTACAACAGGTGCCCGTAGTATAAGCAAACAAAAATCGTTGCGTCGTCTGCTTTTCCCATAAAAGTCGAGTTCATGCCTTTCCCGTTGGAAAGAGGATTTTTTATCGTCAAACTTGGTAGGCTGGTAAACGATGACAGCACCAGACATTGCGCTGTTGCACGTCATTATTTTACACACGACTTAAACGAAATGGTTACACCGTCTTAATTAAATGTCAAAAGATTTTTCTAACATTTCCAATAGTCATCCCTTACGACACCCAAGGGAATAATTAGAGTGATGAATTCGCTCACGCCGTCACCAAAAGACAAAAGTATATTTATCTCTTTATTTATAGAATAATGGTGACAAACGAGCGCGCAGTCCACCTGATGGTAAGTGGATGTTGTGGCCCATAGACATCTACATCTATCCTCGATTAATAATCAAAACGCAGTTATCACCCCTGAGGGCTGCCTCGTTTTCAGTAAAAAAGTGTCTCCAGATCTCTAACCATACGAAACACAGCAGCATTAAGCTACTATTTTACGCTGGTATTCTGTGAGAGCGTGGCTCTTCCCCAGTCGAGCCGACGCATTCGTGCTACAACCATAATATAGTTGCACAGAATTTCACATTATCTCACGATAATGACTAAACAGAGGCCGTGACTAATAATCGCGTCACCGGGATGGTGGGGTTTTGCGCCCAGAAAACTGGTCGCTATTGTGGCGGACTTGCTGGAGACTTTTATACATCATTAAACAATATTATAAAACACTTGTAATATAAGCATTGTTTTAAGTGCATTATTTTTAAAGAGAAACCTTCTTTAGCCGCGTTAAGCGATTTTTGGTAGGGGGGTTACCGATGACCTCGAGATGCTCGTATCGTATTGCTATAATACGCGCGGCTAGCGCCAGACTAAAAACGAGTATTATAACGGCCTGTGTGCATGTATACGCATTACGCATATATCGTTGAGTTTTCACTTCTGTCAATAGTCCACAGGACTGCCCTTGTTTTTTTTTATTTGAATGTCACTTCTAGTCTTTCTTATTAATGTGCACTAATATCCGAAAAATATTTTTAGTTTACAGTCATCACTAACCATTTACATTAAAATCCAAAATGCGCTGGTGGCGAGAGCCAGGTGTTGGCACTGGACTGGGATTAGGACAGTTAAACCTCGATCCAAGCTCTAAGAGCTGTCGTACGCGACGCGTTGATGGTGACCCAGTTGGGCCTAGTTGTTGAGACGAAAGCGATCGTGCAGGTAAATGACGTGGACGCTCCATTCTGCGTCCAGCTAGTCCAAGAGTTGAGCCGAAACGACTACCGCTTTCCATCTGTTAAGAAAAATATAAACGTATACTTTATATATAGAAGTAACATGATTACGGGTTTTTGGTGGGTGTCATTTCGGAAAACAAAGTCAACTGGGCGTGATTTGAAAACAAGCGCTAAAATATGCAGGATTTTTCCCAAAGATTTATTTTGGTCCGCGTGTTTGTAAATAGTATTAAAACACCATCGAAGTTAGTTTCCAAAATCGCACCACTGTTAGAAAAGGCTTGCGCAACTATCTCAAAGGGACTTATCTATACAATACTAATAATAGTAATAATGTCCTCCGGACCGAATTTCGGTTAAGGCGGTCAGCCTCAACGGAGACTAGCCATCGGCGCAGGACAGGATTATAGTGCCCAAGTGAATGCGCAAGCGCAGATGCATTCTTTATTATCTTACTCTCATACTCCGATGGGACGGTAAACCGACACAACCGGAGAGAGATCAGGCGCAGGATCAACGGCTTTACGTCCTTTCCGAGGCACGGAGGTGAGACACCGCCAACTTCCTGACTCCGAGCAGCTACTGAGAATTTAATGACGGACAAACTCGATATTTGATTTTTTGGCCCGACCAGGGATTTGAACCCAGGACCTCATGATCAGCAGTCGCACTACTACAACCACTAAACCAACGAGGCATTCAGACTATCCATATAATATTGAAATAACTGCCTTTTATTGAATTGAGGAGGGGGGTTAGACATACTATTAAGACCTGTGTAACCTTTTTTTTTATTTTGTTATTCTGTACGAGGCTATCTTCGTAATGAACAAACTGGTTGTAATGAAACTTGAGGACTAAACAGGGAGCCGTGCCAAGAGTGATATATGCTATAATTTATCGTAATACTTGGAGTTGTTTTTTTGTTACAATAAATGTATTTTGATGACTATCTTAAATCTAAATAACGCCACATTAACATATTCAGGAAAAGCCGGGGCAAATCACTAGTTTTATAATAAATGTAAAGAAGAATTAACTTAACAGATTATTATTCAAAGTAAGGTTTATAAATTCAGAGGCTTCTACTTGAAATCGAAAGCGGGTTCTTTTTTACTAAAATATAAGGCAGCATCTTAGTCAAAACCATAAGTATTTTTTTAATGTAACTTGTATTTAATTCAATGTGTACTTTTAGTGATATTGCATTAAATTCTTTATTATGCGTCAGATTAGATACTAATTTGTACTAGCAAAGGCACTTATTAACTGAAAATAAATGCACATATACAAAAAGAACTCTAGTTGATTTATTTTCAGCATATACTTAATATCTTAACAAACCCACCGATGGGTATAGGTCTGCTACTACTGAGTTTAAAGAAGGAAATTTTAAAATTTTAAGTACAAATTTAAAGGTTTCACTTACGTTTTTGAGCGCATCGTGTATATTTTCAGCAGAGTAGTGCGTGGGTAGGCGGGGACGCAGTGTTTCGTACAGTGCACTCGTTGAAGGCGCTCGTGACAGCCATGCACGGTACTCGTCTGAGGTGAACACTGAAGGCGAAGAAGGTAGGCGACCTGTTATTGATGGGGTAAATAATCAGATAGTTATTTCAATATGTTTACTTTTGATGATTATGAAATATATTTATGTGTGGTTATGTACGACAAAAAGTGGAAGAGTTTTATACACATTGTAGAACCACGCTGCAGCTATGTAATGGTTGTAGCCCGAACCGGTCTGCTTGACCAGGGTAGGACCATACTCTCACAGAATACCAGTGTGAAACAGCAGCTCAATGCTGCTATGTTTCGTATGTTGATTGTAGACAACCGTAGACTCCTTTTTACTGGAAACGAGGCATTCCATCTTAGTCTTCAGGGGTGACATCGTTACTGCACTTTGGTTCTTAATCGAGGATAAAAATGTAGATGTCTATGGGTCACAGCACCTACTTACTATCATGTGGGTTGTGTGCTGGTTTATCACCCTTATTCTATTGAAAAAAAAACTAGGTTTAGTCGACTTCAACCAGGTGCAGACAATTATGGTTGGTTAAACTTGGAGTTTACGTAAACGTACGTAAACGCAACTAAACCTACTATTACTAATATTATTTGATACAACCTATCATATATTTGACAAATTCAACGGTACACCAGTTTCACCAACCCCACTCTGTACATGCAACTGCATCTGGATGTAGCCGGCTAAACCTAGGTGTACCCGCGCTTCCGCACGGAACACCACAGTGCACGTACTGCTGGATGGCTGTATGAATAGGCAAGAGTAACGAAAGTAGAATAAATAATTGTGGAAATGACGTCTTAAATTTGGAAGAATATATTTTTAATTAGAAATTAATAAGGATTATATATAACTTTCAAATAAATTTGTCAATACGTTACACGCGCCACTTACTGTAAGTTAATTGTACTATGCCTATATATAACCTTCGCGCCAGTGCAAGCAAACAATTGACAAAACTTTACTGCAATCTGATGAACGGTTTGGTAGCGCATAATATACGAACAAACTAACATTAAATTTGCATATTAATTATGAATATTTGATTACAGAAAATAACATTTGATTCAAGTTAAAAAACAAAAAAAAAATAAAAGATGGAATCCAAAAAAATATACTAGAATAATTTTACATTAAGTCTGTATCTACCTCTGGAAGAACGAAGATCTAGGCGTGAGGACAAGGGCTCTGGCTCGTCCTGGAGAACACTACCAGCTCGCCTGGATAAGCCCAATCTGATGAAAGAAAATTTAAATACATATGTCTGTGTATACGTAAAATTTAAATCAAGGAAAGTAAAAATCACCTTTGCCCGGTTCCTCTTACGTCTCTTGGTAAAGAATTAAACTTTGAACCTATATCTCGTCCCAAAGTACTACTTCTGTATCCACTGAGTCCCGAGTAATATGGAGTTCTAGTTGGAGCTGTGGCTTCCGTGTCTGAAGAATAATCTAAACTTCGATTTCTTCTCGTTGTTCCAAATTTACTACTGTATGAAGGCAATCCCAAGCCCGTAGTACCATATCCAGCAGCAAGAGTTGAACTAAGACCAGCACCTGTTAATCCACTTCCAATACCAGTGCTTGATAATCCGGAGCCAACTAAACTGGAACCCGCTAAACCACTAAGAGCGGTTGTAGAAAGACCAGACGGAAGCCCTGGTCCCCCGAGACCAGAACCAGATAAACCAGTTCCCGAGAGTCCACTACCAGGTAGAGGCGGCCCAGTCATTCCAACACCGCCATATCGTTGGTTGTATCTTGACATACTTGCCCCTGGAATAACAATAAAGCCGGTTTGATTTGTACATGTGATAATTAAACCTAAAATAAAAATTATTTTTATATGAACGCAAACACTAGTAATATAAAGGTAGTTTTATGGATTGTATCGCTTTGTATTTTAAATTTCGCTCCTTACTTCTCCAGTTAATTGATTTGAATCGTGAAAAAGGAACTCCATTCCATCTTAATATTTCGCTGAATGAGCTAAAGAATTATCAACAGAAACAGAAACAGAAACTTTTTTATTCAATATTGATTATAAATAATACTTATTGAAAGTCACTTTTTTTCATATGCCAACGTTATCCCTAATTACTTTTTTACATTCCAATTGTCTATGCTAATTACAAATATTAACAGATATGTTGTTTTTCTTCAAAAAGATTAAATTGGTCGATTTTAACGGAATTAATGAATCTTAAGAAATTCGCACATATTAAATTCACAAGCAAAACCAATGACTCCTGTTTTAGCATCTCCTTCGTATAATCATACTAGGATTTATTCCCTAATACCCGAACTAAGCCGATTTTAAATGCAAACAATATATTTTAAATTCACTATGACCTTTTTAACGTATTTCGGGACAGATTTCATCAATTAACATTTCATTTGTTATTTTTTTTTCTATTTTATTCGTTTATGAAATTATTTATGTAAAATAATTAAATAAAAAAAATATGTATGTATCTGTAATAACTTTATACAACATGTAACAAAAACCCTGTGGTTCTCGTTAACTGCGTTATCAGAATCAGTATCCAAGAATATAAAAATATTTTTTCAGAAAAAACACATTAAAAAAATATTTTTATGAAAAAAAAATAATTTGCAAATTCTATGTGGTTTATTATCTCTGCGTTGGCCGAGGAATAAGTGGATTGTCAAAGACCCCGCATTACCGATACTCGTGTGAGCTAGAGGAAATAAAACCACATACAATTTGCAAATTAATTTTTTTTATTAAAATTAAATTTTTTTAAATGTTTTTTCGAAAAAAAAATTATTTCTATACGCTTGAATACTGATTCTGATCAGACACTTAACGGGAACCACGGGGTTTTTGTCACATGTTGTATGTAGAAAGTGCTGAGAACTCTAAGAACGTGGTGTTTACCTACTGTAAAATTGTATTTATTCAATAACTTATAACAAATATTGAAACAAAACTACTAACCTCCACCTGTAGCAGTTGAAGCCTTTAAACTGGATCTGAGCAGTGAGTGTCGACCGAAATCTGAATGAGTTTCTGCACGTGGTAATTGTTGTTCGGATCCCGATCGTGGGACTCTAGCACCAAAGCGTGTACTGTAAAGATTAATTAAATTCCATACATGCTCCTAAGATGCTCTTGTTTCTTCAACTGTTTTTAATTCTTATTTATTCACTTTATATATAGCTCTAAGAAAAATAACTTACCTTGCACCGTCCTGGGGATAAAAGGAATGCACTTTTTCTGCAAGGCTCTCGAGGGTATTAGGATAAGAACGCTCGTATGGAACAAAGTGAGTGGTTGTTGACTTAGGTTGCTCAGTAATAACTGGCGGAGGCGGCCGATAACTGTACAAAAAGATAGTAAAGCATTTTGTATTGCGAATCGTCAAAGTTAATGTTATAAAGCTTAATATTTGTAAATATTAAGTGTAATACCAGTTAGTATGATCACGCCACCATTTTGCTATATTATTTAAAAAGTAAAATTTTTCAAGCTTAGCATGCAAAATAAAATAGTGTGTTGATTACATTTCTCCGTCTCATGTAAATCTTAGGAAATTTATTTACTTTTTAAATGCTCCTTCATCTAATAAAATCTGAATTTTTTGAACTGAACTTACAATAACGTTAAAAATTTTGTATAAAAATAAAGGCATTTATTTTTATACAAAACTTTTTACGCAAATAATTCTATTGATAATATTTTTTAATTACTAGGTATTCGTGTACCTCCAGGTAGAATGGTCAGATGGTGGCCTTGAATTGTAATATAAATCTAGGGGATTGGAATCCGGTGAAACAGTTCCCAGGTGCAATCTGTTTCTTTCTTCTCTACCATCGCCAACAGGACGAATACCACCACCAGGCCCACCAGTTGACCGGAGAGTACCGTGCCTGTAATTCAAAAACATTAATACTATATAATCTATGTATATATGCTATATGTGTTTATATCTATGTGTATACTATATATAAATCTATATATGTATAAGCGAAATCCAACTGACCCATCACGGTATCTCTACAACAATACACCCAATTGACTTGAAATTTAATATAGTCTTACCAATTTCGCAATAAAGATGCACACTAAGAACGAATTTTACAATAGTCCCATAAGAAAACTCTTGGTATTTTATATCTACGTTATTATCGCCTATTATCCTGCGACGAGCGAAATCAGCGTTTATCGGCTAGTATTTTCATACATGTTAATTAATAAGTTTAAAAACTATTTACTTATTGAATCCTTTATACTCCGATTTAGATACAAACCCAACATTATTACTAACAGATGAATTTCATCTCAGTCCTCAAAAGAGAGAAAGTAATTGTATCTTTCCTTGTCATAATTTACCAATAGATGGACTGTTAACTAATTTGTCGCTCTATAAATAAAAAGGCATACATAATGTAAACAAAGTAAACATTAAAATGGGTTTCATCACATTAAATAATTCTAACTTGGTATTACATGGATCTCACAACTTTTTACGGTGGAAGAACTGAGTTGCGAGACTTGGTTTTTTTTACAAGTTATGTTTTTGATGGCATGTAATTGACCGAATGTACCTTGTATTTTTTTTTAATCGGAAGGTATTTCAAAGATCAACATAACGTTTTATGTAGTTGTTGGAATGAATATCTCGTAGAATATAGGCAGGTAGTTGTATCCAAATTCTCTTATTTCTTACTAACACAAAAATTTAATAATCACACTTCGTATAGGCACCTTAGCCTATACGAATTGTGATTAAACCTTAAAATGGGATTCCCACTTTACATAAGTAAAAGTCAATTTAAAAGTTAAAATAAACCAAAAAAGGTTGTTTTACTGTTAAAAAGAGTCGCTAAGAATGTAGGGTCGCGGTGCAGTTGTTTTGTGGCAGCAGCACGAAGGGATTTGCTCGACCTTTTTTTTAAAGAATTAGGGTGACAAACGAGCACACATTCCACCCGATGGTAAGTGGATGCTGTGGCCCATAGACACCTACATTTACCCTCGATTAAAGATCAAAACGCAGATGCATTGACACTCTTGAGGACTAAGACAAAACGCCTCGTTTCCAGTAAAAAAGGGTCTCAGGATCTCTACACTTACCATACGAAACACAGCAGTATTAAGCTGCTTTTTACGCTGATATTCTGTGAGAGCGTGGTCTTTCCCCGGGCGAGCCGTCCCATTCGTGCTACAACCATAATATAGCTGCAGCGTGGCTCAACCACGTATAAAGAGGAGTTTGCTTTTATATAATAGACACATAAAATATTAGTATAATGCTATGTTACATATAATGCGTGTAAAGAACTATGATTATTAGTCGAGGATAGATATATAGGTTCCCACGCGCTACAGCATCTACTTACTACAAACTGTACGCTCGTTCGTCACCACTTGTAAAAAAATGCCTGCAGCTATCACACATTTTTAACTTCGAATTATAAATATATTGACACTCTCGCTATTACTATTTTTCTGATATAAAACCCTATCGTCTTAAATCAAGTCACTTGATGTGTAAAACTTACTGCGAGTAAAGGCCATCAACGCGGTCTCGGTCTCTTTCGTCGTCATCTCGACAATCTCTCTTCAGAACTACTACCGGCGGCGGCTTGTGCTCCGACCGAGGTAACGATGGTGATCCTGGGCCAGATTTACCTGATTTAAACATTTTTATCATTAAAACTAAAAATGTTGATGAATGACACATCTGTTGATATACACTTATAGCAGAATAATATCCAACAGCCTATATCATCGCGTGGGTGTCGTAAGTAGGGACAGAAGGAAAAAAAATTAGTAGATTTACAGTAGCGTCTTCTTAATAACGGCTAAAAATAAAAAAAACTGCAGCTCCCAACACACTTGCCAAGCGTGGCAACTATGGCAAATATTCCCCCCTATGAAACAATCTATGGGGAGGCCTATGTTCCGCAGTGGATTTGAATAAGTTGTAATGATAACGATAATCACATTTAATTAAAAAATCATATTCATAAATAATTCATTTTTCCAAATGTTGTAATCAGCACAATATTAAGACATATGACTAAAGAACGCTTTACATATTTAATGTATACTATTCTGTGATGTTAGCGCTGCTAGCCTATACGGCTCTTACATACAACAGAACACTTTACACCGACGATTAACATCAGGAAATAATTATCGGTGATAAATTAGCACACAGCCCACCTGTAACTGTATCTATGGCTAATCTGTAGCTATGGCCCAAAGGCGCCCCCAGAATAAAAAATGCAGAAATGTTGTCACCTCTGAGCACTTTGATTGAATGCATCGTTGCCAGTAAAAATACCAGTTTTGTTTACTGAATGTATATCAGTATCATTATTTACGCCCATTATACGTTACAACAGATAATTGGGTTCTATTTCTTTAATGAAGCTGCTTTTTTTTCCAGTATTTTTATCAATAACTTTTTAAATATAATTATCCTGGGCACAGGCCTTCTCTAATTCCTCAGAAGGTTTGAAATAGTTATTTTTCTGCGCCGCTACTGTGGGTGTCAGTGGAATCATATAGGTCATAATTAATTAACATTCATATTTTATTTCTCGTAATGTTTTGTTTCTTACGATACTTTCTTTCGCCACAGACAACGTAGTAAATCAGCACTTTAAAATTACAAAAATTAAATTACAAGTATTAATAACATTCAACATGTGACCCACAATTTTTTTGTCAAGTTTAGGACATGACAAAGGTCGTCGAAAAGGGCAGAGCAAGATATGGTATATTTATGATTTTCATCATGTATAATATAGTCAAAATGCTAAAATTTAGATCGCGACAGCGTTGATTTAGATTTTATGATACTTGAAAAACAAAGGATTCTATTTTGCAACCAAAACAATTGGATTCCATGGAGTATTTTAAGTGCCTAATAATTTAAACCAGTGTATATAGCAACAATCAGGCTACAATTCTATTGATATTATGTTCATGCTTTTAAATTTAAAAAAAACTTATCAACAAAGAATAATTCTAACCTTTTCTTTGCCTAGTACATAATAATAATCTTCTTGGAATCGACATAATGATCACCACATCATCTAAAGACATCCGTCTCACATCTACTAGATTTACGGCCAAGATCTCGTCTCCAACTTTCAAACATCCACTGTTATAGACAGCTGACTCCAGTGCTATCCTTGATATAAAAACACCATCAGTTCTTCCACCTCCGTCACCTTCCCTGATATATAGGCCCAGTGTTTGACCGGGTCGTTTAACAATTTCCACCAGTTGTACTACGTGGCGAGAATCCTACAAAAGAAAATATTATATAGAGAAGAAATATCAAAGAGAGAAACCAGAAAATCAAAACAACTATACAGTCTTTCTCATCCTTATCTACTCGTAAACAGCATAAAAAATAAAATAGTATTGCTTGCACCGCTCTGAAGGTTAAAGACAGCCAGTAACATTAGACGCTGTAAGACATTTTATTTACGTTTTCAGAGGTGACAACCTCATAGTCCTTCTTATAGTCTCCTTATAGTCTCCTCAGTTTGAACTTGCCTACGGGTGTCCACGGACTACAATAGCCATTTACCATCAGGTCGACTGCTAGTTCGTTTGTGATCTTTAAAGAATGAAGTAATTTTATAAATAGAAACCGTCGTTTAGTTAAAACCATTCAACTGACTTTGATGAAATTTTTTGTGTGTATTTGAATGGGTCCCTAGACGGTTTATACCCTTTTGAACCCGGTAGGTGGCGCTGTCCGGGACGGATCACTAGTATGTATAAAATAAAACACAAAAAATGTTTCCACTTGTGGCCATTATAGACTTTGAATCATCCAACCGATTTTGATGATTTTTTTGTTTGTGTTTGAATGGGTCCGTTTATGGTTTATATTCACATTTGAACCCGGTAGGTGGCGCTGTTCCAGAAATCACGCGTGTCAAGCCGGAGCGGATCGCTAGTCTTGTATATAAAACAAGATATTTTATGTACGTACTAGATTGGCGTGTAGTGACGGCGTAAAAATTCTACTACACCATATCATCCCCTGGGTGGCGATAGAGAGAAACCATACAGGTCAAAAAGGAACATGTAAGAGATAACGGCTTTGCATCATGTTAATAAGTATGTATTAGTTAAGTATACTAGTATATGTTTTTATTTTTCATATATTAAGTATCGTATCTATAATTATTTTTCTCACTCTATGATTATTTCTGTCTTGTTGCGTGTATATAAATAATTTAAAAAAAAACTGCGATTCCCAAGCTGCTTACCAAACGTGGCCACTACGCAGTAAATATCCCCCTGTAAGGCAATGTATGGAGGAGAACTATAAAATGTTTGGCATTTATGGGCTATATTAGTAATATACCTACAAGATGAGATGGTTATGCAGTCGTCTTTCTATAGTCGGAAAAGAATGCAAACGAGCAGACGGCTAACCTGATGATAAGCGATCATCGTCGCCTATGAACTTCGATCATCAATACCAACTAGATGTCGGATCGGCGCAAAAAATCCATCTTAGTAAGGCTTAAATCTGGACTAGAAGAGGGCCAGCCTGCATGTCCGATAAAGTCAATTCCATGGGTGGTTAACCAGTTTTGTGTGCTTCGTGCCCTATGAGCTGTTGCAGAGTCCTGTTGGAATATCCAATGTCTGTTTTTGAACATTGCTTGAGAAAGAGGTTCCACTATGTTTGTTAGGACGGTATTTTGGTACATCTTAGCACTGATTTTTACACCTTTTTCACAGAAAAACACCTCAGTTAAGCCGGAATATGAGACTCCAAGCCAAACCATGAGTGACGGGGGATAATGTGCTCGTTGAACCTTCGGAATACGCGTGCTGGCTTCTGCACTGCTGTGGGCATATATCTTATCATTTTATTTATTATAATTTTCTTCGATGTTAAAAATTTTTACATCCGAGAACAAAATTTCGCGGTATTTTTACCCGCGTACCGCCGTAAACAAGCGCGGGATCTATCCAGCCTAAGCGTCTTTTCAAATGCTCGTTCAAAAAATGTCCGGTCTTCTTACGATAAGCTCAAAGTCCTAGGTCTCCATTGATCACTCTTTTAACAGTCTTTCTGCTTAGGCCCATCTGAAGAACTAAGATTTTTGTTTACGAACAGGATTTCATTGGATTCACGCCCTCCCGGCTTTGATGATCGCGGGTGTCCTAACTGTACAAGGTCGGCCGCTCCTCTTATGATCTTCGAAGCTTGAATCTTTAGTGAATCGTTTGATAGTGCGGTAAAAAAATCGTAGGGTTATTTTCAATTTTTGTAGAATATTGAAAATCTCTTTTGGCGCGTAACCACAGCGGTGCAACGCGATAACCGTTACTTTATCTTCTTTCTTCGACCAATCCATATTTGAAAATGAATGAAAATTAATGTCTTTTTTATTTTCGACAAGTGCAAACGTTACATTTTTAAAATTGGTGAAGTTCATCTAGCTAGTATTCAAAAATTTTAAATAATAAAGTTTTGACAGAACTTATGACCCGACTAAGTATATGTAAGTTTTCATAACACGGCTCTTCAATCCTAATATTGATTAATCGCTACTCATACAGGAACATACAACCATCACACTAATGTTATAGAATTTGAAGAAATTAACTGTTTCTATGTGATAGTAATATACAAATGGTCCCATTTCTAATTTCTCAGTTACAATAGAGCGCAATTGCTAACCGCAAGGTGGTGAGATATATAAAAGTCTAAACGACGTTCCAATCGACCGCAGAAATAGCTATCCATCCGCTGTGTGCATAGCGAAGCCGGGAGCACTAACTGATAGTTACATACCAACAATACTGGTCTAGATTGCGTTCACATTCCGCGCGATCTAGGCCAGACCCAGCCAGAACAATAGGCCTGTCTGAAGTAGCACTCTTTTAACAGATCTCTTAGGTTACGAGTTAAATATTCGGGTCAATAGAGCGTTGAAAATTTCCTACTTTAAATGAAAGGTAGCTGTTTATTCATTTAAGTGTCGTTGGAAGTTGGTCAAAAAATGTAAACCTATTCCATAGAAGAGAGGATTTCTTATAATTGTAATACTTTTTAAGAAGAATATACACTTCTCTATATCGTCCCGTGGGTATCGTAAGAGGCGACAGAAGATAACGAGCCAGTAGATTGGCAACGGCACTTTCAGAATAAAAAACTAGTTGCCTACCTACTAACCAAGCCTGGCAACTATTTGCCATAGTATATTCCCCTTATGATGCAATTCTAAGGAGAACCTTTTTTCAACAGGGGACTACAATAGGATATGACGATAACGATAATGCCGGTAGGCGTAGTGTAGTGTAGGTACTCTCTCACGAAATGGTTTGAAGATAATTGCTGTTTTATTCCCAAGAAATTCATCCCTCAAGTTATACAGTCCACATCGAAGAATTAAGGCGTTGGGATCGGGACGACTTCGGAAGACCCGTAATCCCCGTCTGAACCTACTTGCTGAAAAGGAAGAGGTTATCGCCCTTGTGTGTTACTCCGTTGCGGAGATCACATACGTTGTTCCCGAACCCAACGTAGGCGTTATAGGAGGCCGGATCGAGAAAAGCCTCGATTCCTCCCTTCTGTTTCTTAGTTGAACGTTTGAATAAGCTGGGTTCCTTTTCAATTGGTCCTTCGCGGCCGGATTGAGAGGACGCCCGAACCTGGGTTCCTTTTCAAGTGGTGTAGTTCCACTAGATGGAGTGACGACCTGGTAAGACATGCAGGAAGTCGATGGATGCAGGTGGCTCAGGACCGTGCTTTGTGATGCTGATACCCGTCTTCGGTCCTGGTATTTTATTTTACATCAAGTATGTACGAGATTCGTCGTAAGAGGTGACAGAGAACAGTAAAACAGGCAATTGGCAGCAGCGTCTTCCTGATTACGGCTAAAAATAATTTTAAAAAAAACTGTAGTAGTCCACCCGTTACGAAAGACGAGAAGGTAAAACAACCGTCTATAGAAAACATGAGATCTTTGTGGCCTTATACGACTTATCCAGGAAGATATTATGGAGTAATGCATTTCATTACACTAAAACAAATGGCATATAAAAATATCACCCTGACAAAGAGCCCATCTACAGCTACTACAATGACGTAATAATAATATTATTATGGGAACTCTTGATAATCTTCTGGTTGTGCAACTTCCAACTGGTAACGGAACTGAATAGATGAGCCCGTAATTATTTGGAGAAAAAGAAACACTCTCTAATAATTACTCGTACTTTTCCTTCATCGATGTGACGCTGTCTTTAATTTCAATCTATTATCTTTACTGATTTACAGTCCTATACACATCAAATATTGGATATAGGCCTATTCAAATGAAAATGGGTATTTAGGTACGGTAATAGCTTTGGTTCAAAGTTAGTAGTCTCCTTTACACCCCCTATTTTACTTATAACTCATTATATCAGACCGGGAAATTGTCAGATGCAATTTTGAAGCTGCACGTATAACATCACGATCCAACAGAGAACAGGACTTATTTCGTATATTTCGCAGAAATTTCGGCGTAGACAAGGAATTATTACTATTATAATAAGTACCCGGTTGACCGAGCTTTGCTCGGTATTTTTCGCTCGGTTTTTTTTTTAATTCGTGTGTTTTGGAAGTTATATTTAGATACAAATTACATACTGATGAAATACGAATAATATTTTTTGATCTTAGCGACATAATAGAAAAAACTGAACTGGTTATTTGAATAAAAAATCCTGAGTGCAATTAGTTTAATTTAAATTGTCATGTTTTTAAAAAATACTAAAAAAAGGGCTCGAAAAAATAGATTTTCTCAAAAAAGAAAGGAACTTGAAAAAAAAAATAATAAAAGTCGGTCGATCGGTCTGGGCTCGAACCATGGTTATTATGATTTTGTGTCCGCCCAATATACCAATTAAGCTATTTGTAATCATTAATAAATTATCAAAATTTACCTTCTTATTCTAACGATATTAGCAACAGTTTTTCATTGTCTAAAAACACGGATAAAAAGACATTTTCTAAAAATAAATCCTAGCTAGATCGATTTATTGCCCCCGAAACTCCCTGCACACAAAGTTTCATGAAAATCGTTGGAGCCGTTTCCGAGATTCCGATTATATATATATACAAGAATTGCTCGTTTAAAGGTATAGGATATAATATGATGACTACTAAACCACATATTTTATTTTTTAAATTTAAGCAAGTTTCAGCTTACTGACCTGTAGTGTGAAGAATTTTTTGGCGGCTTCAATGTTGTTTCGTCCAACCTGTCTTAGTTCAAGAATTCTTACTATCATCTCACCACGCCGCTCGACCGCCTGAAAATAGCATCCCATAAAAGTAATTTTAAAAAGTTAAATATTAACTTTTTATACGTAGAGCCATGCTGCTATATTATAGTTGTAGCATGATTGGGTCGGTTCGCCTGAAAAAAGACCATGCTTTCACAGAATTTAATGAAATAGCATCTAAATGTTGCTATGTTTCGTATGGTGAGTGTAGAGAACCGGGGATACTTTTTACCGGATACGAGTCATTCAAAGGCAAAAATCTAGTCATTATACATTTATTAATATTCTATCACCCACTATATATTAAAATACCCAGAATTATTGAATAATAACTATTTTCAAATGACTGTCTTATAGCGGACAGCAACCTCTTCAAGAAAACCGTTGGAGGTTCGCAAGATAGAAGTTTTTCTCTATACAGTAAAGCGTTTGTTTAATTAAAATGAAATTCTTACTCTAAGTATATACTTTGAGTATGGAGCAGTGGCAAAATTAGGGGTAAGAGGTCAACTTATAAAATTTAATAGCTAGCAAGCAAACCGAAATCGATGTGTATACATACGGGTATCAACAGTCTCGAATACTATTTCAAGGTTGTTCATACCCGTGCTTGCTGTTCATACTCGCTAATTTTCACTCTATAGTTTATTTGTAAATACTCTAACATTTAAATTGTAACATTCCTTTGTACTCTCAAAAGGTAAAAAATATAACTTTAAATAAAACGAAAAGCAGACATGAAAAAACTAAAAACAATAAAATAATTTCACGTTCTGAAGTTAGAGCTTTAATTTTCCTACAGACTATATTTTAGCACCGACTTAAAAATGTGAAATTATTTTTCATTCTTTTGAGTTACTTGAAATCGGTTTTACTTTATATTAAAAGATAATTTTGAGTTTTAATCTTAAGTTTTATTTTATGAATTTATCTTATAGTTAAACCAACCTCGAGTGCTGCGGCGGTAGTGGCGTCGTGATCATTTTCGACCAATTCAATCTGCCTGAATATTTCATTGCTCACACCCGACACCTGAAATGTAAGTCAAACTGGGAGTCAAAGTTTAGCTTCGTGTTCTACTGTTAAGAACTATTTAGAGACAAAGAAAATATTTCTACTGGATTTAAAAATAAACATCCTCATATATCAAAGACGTGGGTTGGCTTGACTGACTTCGATGTTCAGAAACCACAGCAAGAATCTATTCAATAAGTCAATATTTTAGTTTCCTTAGAGTTCACTACTGGACTTCCATTCCAAGAAAGCACCATTTTTTCAATAGAATAAGGGTAACAAATGAGCACACAGTCCAGATCATAAGTCGATGCTGTGGCTCACAAACATCTGTATTTATTCTCGATTAGGAATCCAAAAACAGATGCGTTGTCATCCTTAAGGACTAACTAACATGGAATGCCTCGTTCCCAGTATATAGGGTCGCCGGTTCTCTAATCTCATCATACAAAACAAAGCTGCCTTAAGCTGTTATTTTACGCTGGTATTCTGTGAGAGGGTTGTTAGCGGTTGAGCCGACCCACTTGTGAACTACTAATATAGCTGCAGCGTGGCTCTACCAAGATTTAGAAAAAAAGGTAGCTCACTACCAACACTTTTTATGTCTTAAAAAATAAACAATATATATATATATATATATGTATATATATATATATGTTGTATTCATCTCACCAATGCAAGCCAACACAAGTCTTTAGCCGAATATGGTATATCTATAAGTCTGAAACTATTATTTTAACAAATGTCATTGAAAAATTAAAATCACTATACCTATGAAAACTTTAAATACTATTCAGGGTTGGCTTAACTTACACCCGCACTGCATGGTGCAAGGTATGCCTATTTGCATATTTTTGAAATATATGTTTTTACGATATATAATCGTGAAGTATTTTATCGTGGAAGTGGGGATATCTACCACCGGGCAAGGCATTCAGACCGGGAGATAGAAAATCCAATATTTACCGTAGCTGCCGCGCTTGGTATCAGGAAGGTACTGCTGCTCGTCTCCTGTTTCGGTTCCCGTCTGTCGCTTAAGACCACCCACGGGATGATTTTTGATAATTGTGGCTTGATTCATGTTTATTAAGACATTAATATAAGTTAGTTCGTTCTACGATCTTCGACTGAATCATCACTTACAATCAGGAGATTGCAATTTTACGTGGTAGAGGCATGCCGCAACTATATTATAGTGACTCGACCGGGGTAGGACCACGCTCTCACAGAATACCAATGTAAAATAGCAGCTCAATGCTGCTGTGTTTCGTATGGTGAGTGTAGAGATCCGGAGACCCTTTGTGCTGGAAACGAGGCATTCCAACTTAATCCTCAAGGGTGACAACGCATCTGCATTGATTCTTAATGGATGATAAATGTAGATATCTATTGGCCACAGTATCCACTTACAATCACGTGGACTGTGTGCTTGTTTGTCACCCTATTCTATAAAAAACGGAGGGATATTGGTTGCACTAGCGTATAATAATAAAAAAATATAAGTACAGGGTATACGTATTTTTCTTAGGACATGAAGTTTATCTCTTATCTTATCTTATCTATACATGGTAGAGCCATGCTGCAGTTATATTAGTAGAATAGTTGTAGCACGAACGGGTCGGCTCGACCGGGGAAGGATCACGCTCTCACAGAATACCAGCGTCAAATAGCAGCTTAATGCTGCTGTGTTTCGTATGGTGAGTGCAGATAACCGGAGACCCTTTTTACTAGAAACGAGGCATTCCATCTTAGTCCTCACGGGTGACAACGCATCTGCATTTTGATTCGTAATCGAGGAAAGATGTAGATGTCTATGGGCCACAGCGGCCACTTACCATCAGGTGGACTGTGTGCTCGTTTGTCATCCTATCCTATAAAAAAATATTTAGCTCAAAATACCTTTCGGAAGTCTGGCTGCAGCACGCAGGGCGGGGCGTGGTTGGCGCGCGGCGGCTGCGGCGGGCCGGGCGGTGCGCGGCCCGGCGACGCCGTCAGGTCCGGCGCCGCGCGCCCGTTCTCCTGCCAAGCGGAACAAAAATTACATAAAATTATAATGGAACTTTTTCTACATTTATATATAAAACTCACGTGTTCCATTACTTATCCACGATGAGCCCCTAAACTACTGAACTGATTTCAGTGTAATTTCGCACACTCTGTATGCGAGTGTGTGACAGTTTGGTCCAACTTGATGATATTTTTTTATCCCGATAAGTGATTCTCAATATTTTTATTGCGAATTTAAAGACTTTTTAAAGCACAAAGGGCAGAATAAAGTGTGCCTTGTCTCATAGTATCTATATATAAATATACGTGAATAGTTGTTTGTAACCCTTTTTAAGCACATTACGCGTACGAAGGTATTTGAGATTTGACATAGTTAAAGTTTATAATGAGAAAGAGTGCAGAATGCTAAAATGTTAATGTAATATGTGTCAACAAGCATATTAAATTAAATTAAATTAAAAGTTCAATATTTTTTTCTCATTGCCAATTTCAAACTCATAATAATCTGTGGTCAAACAGTAGCATAGAGTAAAGATTGTCAACCTTGTAGCAAGAACATACATAATATCTGTTTCGTTAAAAACTTAAATGTTACTATCAAATAATTACTGACAGATTCAGTGAATGAGCTGTGAATCTTAGCCAAGAGTTTTTATTGTCTTCATCATCATCAGCATGTGGCAATGCGTATTTCGACACAAACGCACAATTTAATTGTATCTTTGACTTCAAATATTCATATATGTATATATATATATATATATATATATATATATATATTAGGGTGTGTGTTTGTTGTTTTAACGTGTCTTTGCCTTTGCTAAAAGGCGTACCACACCACGATTTCCTTACAAACCCAGTACTAACCCATTCAAATATTCGACACTTCTACTGCAAATTTCGTTGAAATCTTACTTTACAGATGCAGAAAACTGTATGTACTTCTAATTATAACTAGAAGAACCATTATAATTATAATTACATATTCTAATTATGCATATTTTGTTAGTATACTTCCAATACTGTGAACAAGTTGCCCGATTGATTACATATTCCTACAATATGACGATGATCCATAGCTGTGCTATGGTCCGAGAGTAGGCGCTGCAGGTAATTTGATAACAAATTACATATATATATTGACGAGGTGAACGTTATCAAGCCGGAAAGGGCAGATCAACATTTGCCGAGTCAACTAAACAATATTAATATAGCGTAACTTGAGAAACATGTAACATTTTGTTTCTTATACCAGGAGAATAGAAGCTAAACACTATTTAAATTTTTACTATTACTATTTTTATCATTACATTTATGCATTATAATATATTAATGTAGGTATATTACTTTATTACTGTTGACTCAAGTCCGTTTTGAGTTATTTTAACGAACCCACACTAGAATTTTCTCTTGTATCGTAAAGGCAGTTCAAAAACACAAATTCAACAAAAATCACAAGATCAAAACTCCAGACCCAGATTTAGTATTCATAGGCCATACAAACATTTATTCCGTGCGGGATTCGAACCCGCGACCCCTAGCGCAACTATACGCCAGATAAATATCTGTAAATTAGATTTTTTTTTTTGTTAAAAAGATCGAATATAATTGATCTGAATAAGATACCATTTTTTTTCTCAAGATTAAATACAAATTGTATTGTGTTTAATCAAAAAAAATGATAAACACCCTAATGATTTTAATACTACCTCTTAATTATTTATATTTCGGAGCATTATTACTGTTTGATCTAGTTATAACCAACCTCCTCAACGGTAATGATTATTCATTTCATTGTAAAAAGTAGGTCGAGGTCTCAAGATTGATTGCATCTCTATAATGCCAATATGATACGCCCTATAATAAAGCTTGCATGCCTGACAGCTTTATTTACAATGAATAACAAAGAATAGAAGTCGTGAAAATAAGTAAAATGCAGTTTGCATATTCATGCTAAAGTTTAAAATTCCAGTCGATTGTCATTTATATACATCACAGTTACAAAATGGCCGTATAGTGGTGACGTCAGAGAATCCACTATCTAAACAGAGGGAAATTAAAACAGGAGATGATCGGTAGTATCTTCCTGATAACAACTGAAAATAACAAAATGTTATTTTCAGTTGTTATCTATGTATATACCATTTTATTATTATATATACTATGTATGTATATATAATAATAAAATGGTTGCAAACCATTGGTAAGCTATGGGAGAGGATTATCTTCAGCAGTGAACTTTTTTGATATATATTATTACATTTATTAACTACACATTACATTACGGTACAATCATAAGTTTATAAAAACTTTACCGTGTACCAGTATCGCCGAGAATAACAAATATGAGGATGTAGTAAGAAAAAAGAAATACACTTATTATTTCTTAAGTGCGTGACCTGCTATTGCAGGATGCACCGCGCATGGATCCTATATACAGGACGCTTGTTTTAGGACGCAATATTTATTGGCTTATGTTTAACTTACCAGAGATAGTAATAATAACAGACAAAAATAGTAAATGATCACCAAAATTAAACCCGCATTTTAATATAAAATTATAACCAAAGTTATTATATCTTGCTATCCTAATGATTTCTTATATTTACGCGAACACTACACATTGATTGAAACTACTTTTACGGATTTTATCGCGTTTAATTTTACTTTTAATTATTTTTATCTTTAATTGACTGAGGTGACTGACGTCCCGACGTCATTGTTAAACCCGGAGTACCTTCAGCTTTTTTAATTATTGTTTATGGTATCTGCTATCCTATTTTATCAAACTGACTCCAAAAAAAAATCACTGTTAACCCAAAAATAGTTAATGAACACCAAATTATTAACGACATTTCAATATAAAATGACATACAAAAAATAACTTCTCGTTATCCGATTAAAGTAAATACCCTCGGCAAAAAATATTTTGCCAAACATAGTAAATAAACTCCTAACCTTTTTGTCTCCAAATTGATTAACCACTACCAAAAAAAAATTTCTTAAGCGTTTCCTTTATTGAACCAAATGCTATGCCTAAGATAAAAAATAAAACTCTTACAATTTCAATAATTCTTTTATTAATTATTTAAACAATCATAAAAAAGTTAGTCCTTTAAAACTAATAATAAACAGTTTAAAGATCTTAAAATTAAACTAACAATAAACATTTTAAAATCTTAAGAAGAATCAGTCTTCAGTAATAATTTACTGCACAATCAATGCTTTCTTAGCTTTGGCTGGTCGTCCTCTTTTACGCTTCATGCCAATCGGAATAGCTCTGGCCTCTGAAGGTGGCTGGACGTGCTTAAGCCGAATCGCCAATCCAACGAGATGCTTGCAAATGTAATCTTTGAGAAACTTTGAGCATTTGCAAGTGCCGTGTAACCAATTTTCCTTTTTTGGGGCATTATAACTTCCCACTGTCTAAAATGTTGTTCTTTATATTCTTCAAAGGTCTGCCACGGCTTTTCACAATTTTTGCAATCTAAATCCGACCCCGCTGGAATTCTGTATGTGCAAACCAGCTCAGTGCTATTCTTTAATGGCACCTGCTTCGACAGTTTTGCCCATTGGTAACTTAATATGGCATCACAATACTTTATTTGGTAATAAGCCTACATTATGTACAATCACAGTGGTTTATTTAGGCAGAAATAGCGCATTAATTTGCTCGCTAAAATTTGGTGATCATTTACGACATTTGGTGTTCGAATACAATTTGAAGTACAGTTGTGACTAAAATAGCTAGTATTATTGTAATTTTAGGCTTTATTTTTCTGGTGTCAAGTATATATTTTTGGTAAAAGAACTAAGGGTATCAAAGCATCTTATGTTCGTCATTGTATTTAACCCCATATGTTTTAGTAATAAATATTAATTTAAATTAGTAATAATGCATTCCATAAAGTAGTTTTTTAATTTTTATGTGATTTTTTTTGAGTACGTTCTGATTTTACATATACTGGTAGCTGGTTAATTAGGTCATATTATAATCTAAGGTACATTTACCACATAAGTTATTATATTTAAGTAAGGCTAGTTTAGGTTACCCCGAGTTGCGAGTTTTAGAGTATAGTTTTAGAGTAGCAATTTTTAACTGTTCATGGAAAATTCTTCTATAAGAAGGGTAAACTTAACTTTTTCGTCTCTAGGTATAATTTTGCAATGACTAAAAAGGTTATGGTAATCTGATTGTTTATATTGTTTTTAATACTGTCCGGAACTCATTGATATTACACTTTTTTACTTATAAATATCATTGCCGGAATAGTTCTTAAAATACGTAACTGCAGTAAATAAATATGTTCTAAATGTAATCTGTACGTTCTTCCATAGCTAGGCAAACCATATGCCACTTTTGAATCCACCAGTGAAGTTTTGATGATAGTCTATAATTAATAATGGATGGATGGACACTTACAATATATATATACAAGATGTTAGTGTAAACACCGTTGTCCTTGAAACCAGTGGTTTGGTTTTACTTATAGAACGTAAATTCAATGAAAAATAACAACATTTTTTTTAGTAAAATCTCAATTTTTCCTTAATTCCTCAATTTTTGCATGTAAGCCAGGATGAAAGTATGAAGGAAAAGTTACATCACAGGTTATGTGTACCTAATGTGTTTTTATGTTGAATGTTATGTAGGTAGCTAGCGCGGGCGGTGATCTTTACAGTGATTACGTTACTCGGGTGCATAGGGTATCCATGAATTTACGGACGGTGTCAGACGAAATTTAAATTATGAAGAAAATGGCGATTTTTTTTAAAAAATTCGTTGAATTTACTTTCTATAAGTGAAACCAAACCACTGGTTTCAAGTACAACGGTGTTTACACTAACACCCTGATATATATATATATATATATATATATATATATATATATATATATATATATATATATATAAAATAATAACAGCGGATCACCACTGGATCCAAATGTGATTCTAAACCATCTAGCGACCCATTCTTAAAAAAAACACAAAATAATTTATCGAAATTGCTCCACTATTATTTGAGTTTTAGCGACACTAACGGACAGCAATTGATTTTTATACAAAGAGGATGTCCAGTTCTTAGTTAGTGTCGTATTCTTGCAGTTGTGTCCCGTGAGTGTCATAAGACATGACTATGAGAAATTTAAAAAAGAAATTGCCTCGTAGGTATTATTTATTTTTTGTCGTTATTATTCTATACAAAAATAGTCACCTCGTGTTGTCGTCTGCATGGATTGTAGAGTCCTGCAGGTCTCGGGCCTCGGGGTATGCCTCCATTGCCCGGACTTTCCTCATGGCCCACCACTATGGGCCAGTCCTAGGAGCCTTTAACAGACTAGGTAATCCAGTACGGATGATCCATAGTAAGAAAAATTTTTTGGAAAAAAAGGAGGTTGTCCAGTAAAAGTTAAAGTTGGCCTATCAGCGGCATTGAGGGTTGTTACTCGACTCTCTAATCGCTATAGAGAGGAGTTCTCTTAAGAGGTCGCCCCGGGGGCCGGGTGTGCAACGGCGCGAAGCCGTTGAGGCGTTCATGTGGACCCGTTGTCGGCGCGGTCAAACATGCCGCGCGCCAGCCGGGCCACGAAGTCGGTGATGGTCTCGACTTTCAGATCGGCCGCTATTACGTCATTCCGGACGTAGCGACCTGCTCCGACTATCGTCCTTAATGTCAGATTCTGCTGGGCCTGCAGTCGCCGCCTCAGAGGGTCGCTCAGAAGTGCGTACCAGGCCGGAGCAGCGTAGGTGATAATAGTCCGGATATACATCTTGTATATCCGGAGCTTGGTCTTGATCGGCAGCTTGGATGCCAGGACTGGCAAGAGCGTCGCCCGCGCACATCGGGCTAAATAGTCATCTTACGAAACACAGCGGCATTTACTTTTCTTCATACTTTAGTTGCAGCCTAATACCGGCGAGCGGAGCTACCTACTAGATGGTGTAACAATCTGGTAAGACATGCATCTAGTCTATGTATATAATGAATAATGGTATTACAGTTTAAAAAAGAATATTAACAACACTATTATACATATTAAAAAAGTTAATAGTTATACAGTTTAAAATAAGAATATTAAGAATACTAATATGCCCCTTAACCACTCGTGGTAAGCTTAAATTGCTTGTGTTACGAGTAGTTCACGCCAGTAGTCGAATGGCGGATTCGAACCCACGACCTTTTTTAGTTCGCGGTCCGCACCCTGCCATTAGGCTATTGTCGCTTTTACTCATAACTTCTATTTTATAAAAAAAAACTTTAGGTATCATTTTTAACCCTTACAATTCATTCGCGACAGTTTATTCTGTTGGTGTAATGTTATCGTCCTTTCCGTACCATAAAGCAGGAAAAAAAAACGATTGGAATACCGCAAGCTAACCCTTTTCATTCAGGAGTTATTACTCGACAAACGTAACTCCACCCGTTTATTTCCGTCCCGCTCAGCTATCAACGGAGGCAAATTCCAGCATCCTATTATCTTTCTGGTTTTGAATCAATCTGGATGGAGTACTTTTTGCTTTAACGAATAAAAAACTAATATAGTAGATTCGTGTACTAACTTTTCGGGTTAAAATATTTAACTTAGAGATGTTGAATAATTTCCTGGATCTTATTATTAGTAATACTATTGCCGAAAAAAACCTAATCCTTTGTCATTTATCAGCTTTGACGTTGTCACCACAATCGCACTAGATATCTGAGACGTAAATCAAGGAGGGTTTAACAACGTTAGATTCAATCTGCATTGACGGTAGAAGAATTCACAACTGTGACTCTGAATCTTTCGTCACCCGTTTGAGTATTTTGCAACTTATATATTATATTCAAGATAGAAAATGATTTTACCGTTAACTATAGGTTGCTCTTTGTCAATTCCAAAAACATTAAAATATAGACAAATGATATCTCTAATGTGTACCAGCCAAACCAAACCTGAGAAAAGTTTAGAAATTAAATGTTGCCAGGAATCAAAACTGATTGTTTTCACTGACCATTAATATTTCCAATCTAATTAGTTCCGAGTGTTAATTGATCATTCTTTTAAAAACGGTATAAAAATATTTCTGCGTATCTTAGAGTATACATAAGCAAGCCTATATTTACTTTAAACTGCTTAAAGATTCTTTAGATCTAATCCTGTATGAAATAAAATACATTTTTTATATAAGTACGGGTGACGACACACACAGTCCAATAAATGTATAATACTGTGGCCCACGGATACTTAAATCTATCCTCGAGGGCTAAAATGGAGTGCCTCATGATTAGAAAAAGTGTATCCAGTTCTCGTCGCTCATCATAAGAAACCATAATAGAGCTGTAGCAGCTCCTCCGCGTAAAGATGAAGGCAAAATTCGAAATGATGTTACAAAACTAATCATAAAAAAGTGTCCAAATAAGACTCCACGATTTTCTTAAACTCTTATGTACGTTGGGTCTAGACAAAATCATGAAATGAGCACTTTGTTTCTGAGCGAATGCGTGATAATTTGGCGGTCGATCGAGTGCGGAGACGACGGGAGGCAGTAAACGAGGTTGGGGGCCCTGACCTAGTTTCTAACACCCCCACGACCCCTTTCGCGTACGCATGAGGTCACTGTACTGCAGCTGCAAGTCCCCAAATACCGCAGAGGTGAGTGTGCTTACGCCTTTAAAAAGTTCTCGCTTGTCCGACCATTCTGGTTTCATCCATTCTTTTGATTACAGTCATATAGCACACATCTCATTAAAAATTATATCATATGGTTTAGACCGACTAGAGTTAAAAAAGGAAAGTGGGTTATATATAAACCAACAATGCATTTGAATAGTATTTTTGTTATAGTGAATACAATGTACGGTTGAAAAATTAAAACAACAGTACACAAACTTATGAAATAATATACATTGATGTCTTTTTTCAATAGGAGACCGTACATTTTATTAAAATAAAAAACACATATTATTTTGTTTGACTATTAGACGCTATTTTATTTTTGCTAAAGCCTACTTTTCATTGGGATATTATTATATGGATTCATATCTTATGGATAAAAAGCCTATTCGATTTCAATTTTAGTCTTTTTCTTCTAATATCGACCTGAGAAGAATTCCGAAATCAGTCTCGACATTCGACGAATTAACCTGCCCTCACTAAGAATAAGTCAACTTTATCTTTTTCTTGGCTTCCACCTTTCTTTTCTTTGGTTGGCAAATCTTCAAAAGAAATAATATCAGTATCCAAATTGCCTTTTATTTTATAGTTCTTAAAATATATCCAGCACTCATCATCTGCGACGACGCCAAACCATTCAAGTGGCGTCCGTCATACTTTTCCAGCGTGAAATGCTGGTACCAAACTGTGCGACAGTGCCTTTACCTTTAGTTAAATTAAGTTAATATGACATATCTAGAAAACATAACAACCTCTTTGAACTTAAGGAGCTTAAATATTTACGTAAGATTTTTCGTATTTGTCTCCCACCAATTAAGCTAATGTAATTTTACTGCGGAATTTATTGTATTTAACTTTAACTTATTTACAATTCACAACGTTTTGATAATTTTAACCTTTAAATATTAGTTTTTATTTCGACCTACACTGAACTATTTGTCTTGCAATGATATGCTAGGGTTTGAGTAAAAATTTAATTTTAAAACTAAGCTGCAATCATTTTTAAAGACTTTGTTATTTTGACAGTTAAAAACGTGTTTTCCTAGAAAAAAAACAAAAAGAACAGATAGGGGCGTAGATCGAACCCTGAGACGCTCATTTATATGTACAACTGATATGTTTTTGATATGGTACGTTTTCTGATTAAAACCTGCGCAAAGTGAAGTTATAACGTTATTTTTGAAGCCCTATTTTGAAGCCCGTAAAAAAAGATATACTCGTATATATATATATATATATATATATATATATATATATATATACATACACATATGTGTGTGTGTTGTCAAAGACCACATATCTGCACACGTGATCGACGAAGTTGCGGGAGAAAACAAGTTGTTGAATAAAAATAGAAAAAGGTAGGTATTTAAATCTCTCATTCCGTCAGACGTGAATCGTCTAGCAATTTTGTTCAATCAGCAATAACCTAAAAGACTGAAAGCTTTGCTCACATTTTCAATTTTCTAACATCATATGTAACCCAACTAGTCAACCACGTTACAAATTAAATTTTGCCGTGATTTTATAAGTTTCATTTTGTGTTTATTTAATATCCCGAATTGTGACGTCACTTTATGCATTGGATATAGGTGAGATAATAGACTTCGCTGTAGCAGTCACACAATATCGCTGGTATTAGAAGCCTTTGGAACTAAATACGAGGATTATATGGGCTTATTACTCTTTGTATAAAGGGAATTGGTAGTGGCTTATCTTTAGGTTAGCTCAAATGCAGTTGAAAAAATATCATTGTAGTGTTATTAAAGTATTTGATATTTGGTCAAGTATTAGATATTTTATATTTTGAAGTAAAATAACCGATTTTTCAATCGTCATTTATATTCGTAGTAAAAAATACAATCCAAACAAATTAAAAATTAAAGTTGTACGAATAAAATAGTTCAATTGTTTAACTTTTATATGCAAAAATTAAGAAAAATATGTAAACTATATACAGACAGTGTGTTTACTTTTCAGTACAATGTAGTGAATTCCAAACATCTGAAGAACAAAAGTCTGCCTTAAAAAAAATTTGATATTTTAAATGGAAGTCAGTTTGAAATATGTTTACACGTGCTAGAGTCCAGCTGCAGCTATATTCTACGCGAATAAGTTGGCTTTTTATAGAATAGGGGGGACCAATGAGCTAACCTCAATTAAAGATCAAAATGAATGTGAGTTGTCAACCCTGAGGACTAAAATGGAGTGTCCCTTTTCCATTAAAAAGCTCTCTGGTTCACACTCACATTAAACACATCAGGATTAAGCTGCTATTTTACTCTAGTATTCTATACGAGAGTGGTCGATCCCCGGTAAAACTGTGGTAGAACACTGTAGAACTAGTGGATCGGCTCGATGTGGATGTCTGTGTGATTATACATATTACGATAAATAATTTAATTAGTGTCAGCGGAGAACGAACACAGTTTGCTCACGTACTGCGAAATATACGGCGAACTTTTTGTCCCTGAACTACCTCGGCACTTGTCTGAGAAATTAAAAAATAAAAACACTTCGTTGCCCTTAAACCCTTCATGAAATGAGAAGATAAGCAGAGCACTGTTCCCAGCACGAATGTAAGCTCTTTATTTTACTTAACTTCTCAACAATCCGGCAAGAGATCAGGTGTAGGATCATAAGCTTTACGTGCTCACCAAGGCACGGGCATGAAACACCGCCAACTTCACAACTGGCGGTGTTCTACATACACAACAATATTATCTCTTACTTAATCTTTTTTATAACGGCATATTAGTATTTTTTCCTGTATAGTGGAAGCAGTTTACAAACAAATTTTACAACTACAAACATCCAGACCCGCCAGAATTATTTGTAGATCATACAAATACTTGCTCCATGCGGGATACAAACCTGCGGCCATCAGCGTTGCAGCTCATTGCTAAGCCACTGCACTACGAAGCCATTGATATAAGAGTTTGATGACCACTCGATACTATCTTATACTACAATAATAAATAATAACCATCTAACTTGAGTAAATTGTGTTTAAATTCAAGCAATATCAATGTAGCTGAAATCATCAACGTGATAACATAACACGAATGAAGTCAATGGACGTATTTCGATGAGAACCATCAAATTTATCAGCTAAATAGAATAGAATAAATTGTATATCCTTCCTATTATATATCTTCGCATCTGTTTTGAAAAATTCTTTTATGCATCTTAGTAACAAAGGAAAAAAGATCACTTTTAAAATAATTTCGAGAGTTTGTGTAAAAATATTAGGAAATAATATGGGTAGTTACATTAATCTATTATGGGATATTATATACGTGCACTTAACCCACTCTATAGTGAAATCACTCTGATGGTTAATTACGTCCTAGGATTCCTGAGAGACTGAACACTTATTGACATCAAGTGCACCTTAATTAATTAACTTAAATTAATTTTCTTTACACAAATTAAAACTTAAAACACCAATAATTAATCACACTGATTCACTTTATTCCGCTCCGAAGCTTCGCTTGTCTCGCCAAATTCAATACTTCCCCGATCGCGTATTGCAGCACCTTTATATAGGACTCTTCCACGAAAACATCCAGAATATTCCAGAATATTCAAGTAAATACGCGCGCCAACCGACCAAGCGCAGAAAATTCGAGTCTCAGCTTCTAGAAGCTTAGTTCTTCGTTTCGACAACAGATGGCGCTGTCGGTTGAAAGATTAGTGATGTCATTTTCTGGAAAGCTCTCTCCTCGCTCTGTTACCCGACACTAGATGGCGCTAGTGCCAGATGTCAACTTAGCCGCGCAACACTGCCCCCTCCTAAGACATGCTCGTCCCGAGCATTATCGGCCCCATAATAACGCGCCAGGCGATCCACATGGACAATCTTAGGAGTCCCTCTTGCGCCTTTCTGTATCCGGTAGGTTACATCGTTGATCCTGGTCACAATCCGGTACGGGCCGTCCCTTTTAGCTTGAAGCTTAGGAGATTTCCCTTTGCTGCGGACTGGATTGTGCAACCACACTAGTGAACCTTCGTCGAACCCTTCGTTGTTCTTTTGGTCGTTTTTCATCTTTTCAGACATTTGCTGGCCCGATTATCTGACGTGCTCATAAATGTCATTCATTTTGTTCCGCAAGTCATTTGCATAATCGGTTATACTGCGTGGAGCATCAGGTGGTATCCCGGTGATCAGGTCCGCAGGCAGCCGTAATTCTCTCCCAAAGTTTGCGAAAGCTGGTGTCACTGGTGTACTTTCGTGAACAGCGCTTCGATATGACAATAAAAACGGTTGTATGTGCTTGTCCCAATCTCGTTGCCGATTGTCTACAACTTTTGCTAGGTACCTCTCCAATGTCTGATTAAATCGTTCTACCATTCCATCAGATTGCGGGTGAAAAGAAGTCGTTCTTGTTTTATGAGTACCCATAACTCGGCAAGTTTCCTGGAATATTTGAGACTCAAAATTCCTTCCTTGATCGCTGTGAATCTCTAAAGGTACTCCAAAACGACAGAAGACTTCATGAACTAGTTTATCTGCAACCGGTGAAGCTTCTTGATTTGGAATGGCGAAGACTTCTGGCCACTTAGTGGAGTAATCCATCACAACCATGAAATACTTGTTACCGCTTTCACTCTCCGGAAACGGGCCCGCCACGTCAATGGCTATTCTCTCCCATGGTGCACCAACATTGTACAACTTCAATGCCCCTCTACTACGAGTCTGAGGTCCCTTTACAGCCGCATAACTTGTACATTTGCGACACCAGTCCTCGACATCGTTTCGACAGTGGACCTAATAAAACCGTTCTCGGATCTTCAGTAGAGTTTGTTTAACTCCCAGATGGCCTCCTGAACAATCATTATGGTACAGCTGTAGAACATCCGGTACTCTAGCTTTAGGGACGATCATTTGCAAATAACAGCTGTGTCCCCGCACATTTTCCCGTTTACGGCACAGAACTCCATCCTAAAGCAGCAAGCTGTCCCATTGGGCCCAAAATTTTTCGTGGTCGAACTCATCGCTGAGACGTCGCGCCACTTGGGCTTGGGAGCGCTG